GAACTTCTTCCACCATTTGGTGAACGAAGGAAAGCCACATGACGCCATTAAATGCACAAGCCAGTTTCTACATACTCTACAAAGAATACTGTGGATGCTGAATTAAATTATGATTCTCTCCTTGGGCAAAAATCATAGTGTACATCCAGAAGGTCTCATGAGTTGCTCTTTCGGTTCTGGTTTAGATTGAAGGTAGTAATGGATCTCACTCGTGAGAGTTCTGATATGAGTTTGATTTGGAGAAGCCGCAGAGCTCAGCTTTGCCGTCTGAAGGGACATAGGCAAAGAGATTAAGAAGTCTATTGCTAATCACACAGGTAATGCTGTATGTGTGTTCGCTATCATACACATCTTTGTAGCATTCATAGAACAATTGGAGAAGTAACTTTACATCATACCAATTGCCATAGCTGTCTTCTCTACTTTGACCTGTGGATGGTTACTTTCTGGTCATTCCAGACTATGTTCTATTGGTGGATCTTGCCATAGCGATCTCTCGTATGCATGCTTCCAATCCGTGTCAAATACAAGACAGAACCTGATTCTGGACTACAGGTATTGAAGAGGACCTTGGGTTCGAAGAGGCCAATTGGCATAGTCAAGGCTTGGCCAGCGGAGCCAAGATTCTTGCTTTTACTAGAGCGAGACTGCGGTCCTATTCTAAACAATCTGATACATTTTCTTTTGTGAGAGCAATCAACTTAAGACACTCGCCCTACCGGACCCATCCTGAAAAAAATAGAAAGTGTAATGAATTCACGATCACATCAGATCACTGCGATAGAAAAGATACATTTTTGGGACCTCCACAGCAAGATAGAACATGCATCTGTCTACATCCAGTCAGCTATGGATGGATATGTTATTCAATTAACTCTCATGAAGATGGCTGACAAACAGATGGCGCTTATAAAGATTATCTCATCGTAAAGTGAACGCTAGTCTGCGTCACCTTCGGCGAAGGAGGATGTATCTTCTCATGCGAAGAAGACGTCCTGTCATGACATGGATACATTGGCTTCGAGCAATACTTAATGACTTAAATGTTGTTTCATGAAAAAGACGAGTGCTTCAGGTCATGGGAAGGAACATCCGCTGTCACATTCAAGGCTTACCTGTTCAAAAATCTTTGGGTACTAACACCGTCCTTCCGTTGCCACCGTTTCATGGTGTAAAGAATTCCGTTGTCCAAATTTATCGAACTGCTTGGGTGGCTTCTCACCATTCACTCCTTGCTCGGAGGAGATTCATTGCTATGGATTATTTCGTGTGCTGGATGTCGATGTTGCAAACATCATAGCCTTTCTTCGGTTCATCAAAAGATGAATTTCACTTTGCTTATCTCTTTTGAGAAACCCACGCGAATATCGTGACAAGAAGAGGGTGAAATATCCCATAGACAAATGTCACTCAGTGCCCACGAGGACCCCGGTACTCACGAAAAGTAATCCACCGCATATGGAGATGTATTTAATGTTTGATTACATGGATCTAATTTTAGTCAAGCACCACGATTAAGAAACTACTGCATCATCAAACAAGCCTCTCAATTAGTGAAAGGTTGAATGTCTCCATGACTATAATAGAAGACAAATAACAGAAGAAATGGAGCAAGATCTTGTACACACACACCTAGCCAACATTAATGTTGTCTTAAAATAAGATTAAGTATGGAGCCAAATTATGGCGAGGCGTATCACTTAATTGGTAGGTGATAAACTCAATCAACCGAAATGGACCATTATAGGAGATCTGTGACTCTCATGACCGATCACTCTTTAGATCTTCGACTTCCTTACTTTTGCATAAAGATCAGCATTGGGTCCAACGCCGAGTCACAACAAGATACTGTGACATGCAATCTGGCAGAAACCTTCGCAAGCTTTTCTATCATAGAATTCTAGCTTTATCCACGTGGAAAGTTCTGGAAAGGTAATCTACATAATTGTGGCATATACTTAGCTGCTCCTTTGTGTTACTTCAACATAACAATGAGCTGAAAACTAAACCATTCACTTGCTTGAAACAGAATACATGCTTTCGGGCTTGTAGAGTCTCAGCCTAACTTATGGGAATGTTCATGTTCAACTCTGGATTCGAAAGGGTATTTGCAATCATTGTTGTCCAATGTAGAGAGTTATCTAAACCCTCGAAGCAGTTGCTCTAACTGTGCCTTCCTTACATTAACACAGCACACTCAATTGCGTTCTGTTCCCAAATGTTCAGATAAAGAACGAGTTCTTAGACCTTGAAGTTGGTACATCTCACAGGATCTACAAAATCCTCCCGATGTCACATTAGACATAGGCCAGTACCAATTCCACGTTGGATTCAGATCTCTGGCTTCCTTCAAGCCGAAATGCGCATTGTGCATGTCTTGAAGTCGAGGGCATGAGTTCTGAAGAATGTTTTCCAAAGTTTAATTATGGATCTTATCCGCATGGTTCGGTTGTAGAACAAGCCCCGGTACTTAAATGTTGAGCCGCCACTCTAAATTAGTGGCCTCACTGAAGATGAAAGATATTGAAATGGTGTCATTTCTATACTCCGGACCCACCAATTGTACAAGCTCCAGATGATACAGGACACGACAGGCGAACTATATGTCGATACTAAGGTCCAAAATCAGGAACCTCACGTCTCCTCACTGGATTGACCCGCCTCGGGATTGGAAAGCTCTTCCGAAGACTGGAGGTTGAACTCTGATGAGTGCTCTCTAAATTGTCATATCCGTTTCACCCACCCAGATCTAGTAAAGCCGATTTCTCACCTTGATGGTCCTTTCACCATTTTTTCAAAATTTTCCAGCTTGAACAGCTTCTCACATTACTCTTGCGGTGTTAACTGACAATGTCAAAGTTCATGAGTTCTGCCAAGAGCCCAACGAGTTTGATGGAAGTATACTGGTTTCTGATTCAGCTTGACCATATTGAACTGAAAGTCAACGATAGATATATTTTTAATGAAGAACGCTTTTCATTCACCGTCAGTGTAACGAATTTGCATACGCATGTATTTTTGATACTCAATACAGAAGCAGGATAAGTGGCTCCAGGAACTAGGAGCAAACGAGTCAGTCAAAACTGTTAGATGTTTCTAGTCTATAGTCAACACGTCCGTATGGACAGGACACTGAACCTTCTGGCTACCAGACGACCACTGGAGTTTAGAATGGGAACAGTCCTGGGAACAGTCTGTAATCATGTGGCAATTAGGAGAGAGTGTAGTACAGATTCATAGGGCGAAGAGAAATCAGTGTTTATAGAGTATTCTGACAGGAATGTACGCAACTACTGTACTTGTCCATTTCGAGCTACTTCGGTGCTCTGCAATCAGAATCTTGACTTTTAAGAAGTTGGGAGGGGTGCCAAAGACAGGAAAATCAATGGCCAGTCTAGTAAGCCCTGTTTAACAGTAGTCTCAGAAAGTCCCTGTGATTGCATAATTTCGCGTTAAAGACGAATCTAAAAGTGACTTGTACTTGACATATCTGTCACGTTTCTCATATCATATCCATAGTTTCTGGAAAGTGCACATCAGTCAGCAATTGGAAAATTAAACTGACCTTTCGAGATTGTTGGCCAGTACCACTACATATAAACCTTCGGCTGGACAAAGTCATGCTACATAATTCAGTGATGATGCAGCTGAGACGTAACCATGGAACTGACATAATTGGACATCGGCGCAATGCTCAAGTGAGGTTCGAGATTCGTCATTACTTTGCGTGAAAGCACTGCACTAGGGCAAAACCTTCGAACCAAGTATAGCTGTTCGAGAGATTTCTTGAAATAGTTGTGACATGATGGCAAATGATTCGTGCAATTTGGCCCTGTCAAACTTCTAAGCTAAAGCCTTAGAAGCTATGGTTTAAAGCTATGGTTTATGGTTCATCTCACGTAGCTCATAGCGGCTATTTCATCAGCAGATATAACAACAGATCCCTGACAATGTTTGCATTTCCCTTCATAACCAGGGAGATGCGAAGACACCTGTCTTTATCACAAATATTTATTCTATCAGCCTGTCAGGTGCTTATTCAAAATTCATCCTGCTCCTGCTACCACTGAGTTCCGGGAATTACAAAAGCCCAGGTCTGCCATCTCGCAACTGTTCGAACCTTGATCATTCGTTAAGTTACTCTACTCGAGTCTGAGAGCGACCTTGAGCAGAACATACTGATTACAAAAAACTTACGAGGATTTATTCTCAACATACCAGATCTGTTTCTGCCTGGATTAGTCGAATTGAACTCATGTGCGAAAGGACAGCACTTTGGCTCAGAGACCTATTAAGGCAGAGCAGATTCTAGGTCCAGCCGTAGGAGAGCACATCTCTTTCACTTTCAGATACATTCGACCTCACATTCTTAATATATCGCTTATTTTGCAAGAGTGAGCTGCAAGTGCTGAGTTTGATCTTTAGCTTTGTCCCATCGTTTGTATATCAGCCCGGCACGAACATCTCTGACAAAAATCAACTGACTTTCTAGAGAGGCAGTTTGGAAAAGAAAAATCTACTAATACGAACACGTTTCAGGAAATGATTATTCATCCTCCAAAAGGAGATGAGCAGAAGAGAACGTCTAGGCAGCGTTGTTTGAAGAACTGCCAACGCTGGCATCGTTACGTTGAAGTTATAAGTTTGTAGAACTTGTGGGAATTCGACAGTCGATTTGTCTGCACAAAGTTCCAGACCCAAAAAGCCCAACCACTTAACTTCCACCAATCGTAATTTTTAGATCTCGAGAAGTCGAGAAAAATCTGAGCATTAGCTCTCGCTTGCCCACCGTCTTCAGCAATAAAGTTCTTGTTAGATTATTGTAGGCCTCCATCATACAAGGACACAACAACAAGGTCATGTCATCCATCGAAACAAAAAGAATCTCAAAATTGAAGTCAGAATTAGAAACTCGAAGAACCCAGAGATTCAGGTGTGGGAGGACGGAGCAGCGAATTCACTTTAAGCCTCATTAAGCTCATCGTTCGTTCATTGTTGATATGCCAAGACAAATTGTTGATTATAGTTGATGATTGTCAACTAGGGCAGACCAGAATCCTTCTGCACTCTTGCAACATACAAATAGACGTCAGCCTCGGTCGGAGTCTGACAGCTTCTAAATCTCCTCGCTTGAAAATAATGCAAATCACGAATATCATGTGTATATCAAAAAATTGGCATGTCAAGCCTTTTATGCCCTCTAGTACCTACATGGTACCTGCAAATCATACGATCTCCTTATGCTGGAGACTATATTCAATTTCTATACATCTTACCTCTAAAGCCGTTCTGTTGATGAGACTTCTGGAAGAATTGGGGGACCTTCTTATCTCAATACCAGCTCTTTATATATCTTGAACTTCTAGTCCAACTTTTAATTTCTAACTGGTGTAGGCTGGGTTTAAGGTTTTCTAAAACTCAAACCCAGCATAGACCTGGGACCTACATACACTACATACTTCACGACATAAACTTGTAGGTGCTAGTTCGCTCTCTGGCAAGCACTCGGTCGCTTTATATTGCAATGGTCATGGATGATCACACTGAAAGACTTGTTTTCCATATCACAGGGCCGGGCACTCCATCACAAGAACCGCCATCAAGCTGATCTTAGCTCAGCACGCGATAAACTATATCACGCAACTGATGTAACTCGCTACTCATCTGCATCGACAGAAACACTTCTTCAGCATAAGCAGGTGGAAGCTATGGATGTATTTGAGCAAGGAAGTTCACTGTCAAGTCAGAAATATGTGCTCGGACCTTTCAGGTGACTTGAGCGTATTGAGAGTTTCTGAGCAAAGGAGCCTCGCTTACCAGACGCTGCGTTGAGCATTTAGGAGTTCCGAGTGACCGAACTTAAGTTAACGACATAACTGGATATGGATGGAAAATTTGAGAACGCTATGTTCTGAGAATGCAGGGATCAATTGTCAGTGATCTTCACATCGAAGATCACACGTATGTAGAACGACGAGAAATCTCTATGCAGTAACAATCAGAATCTGATCGTTCAACAGCTTCGTACCGATGGACTATCAACTGCTCAAAGAATGTCAGCAGTCAAATGTCTAGACTTGGAGCTTGATTTCCAAAGAAGGGCAAGTGGAGGCAGCTTGGCCGGAACATGACATGCTGATAAGCACAACCTTTGAAGGTTGATTTGGTTCGGGAAATCTGCAGAATCTGATCTTCGTCTGCGTCTCATCTTCGTCATATTGGCCAACGTGTGGAGACTGGAAGGTCAAGGAATACGCTTACCTCATCCACGCCGTGAAGAGTTAATGGACAGCATGGCGGGAAGGAGATCAAGACTCCACTGGAGTGACCGCAGTTGGACCCGCCTGCTTTTCCTGGATTCGAAGATCCTGTCCATTTCAGAACAAATAGCAGACGTGAGCCCAAAATGGCTGACCACAGGAATAAACCCCAACCATTCTATGTACGCAGAGGAAAGGGTACCGGGTCCAAGCTCGGCCTTCACCCGGTCTCGAACCACGATCTACAGATCCCATTCAGAACACAAACTGAAAGATTGAACGAGGTACTAGTCGGCATAAGAATACGGAGGTATGAAATTATCTCCAGTCAGTTTTGTCAGGTGGCTGTGACTTTCTGGATTCATTCTTGAAGAGACCAAATTGAACCATTCTGGTCGATCAGAACATTTTTCATGGGGACACTGGCAGTGCAACAAGTCGCAGTGGTAACTGGGAGGTTGCATGTCTAGTTTGGGTTACGAATTTCAGATGACTTTGAAATTAAGCTTTTCACCGTCAGCGATAACGCACCTGTATCGGGAGGTTGTCGATGCCAGAAGACTCTGAGCTGCCGTCAGTGCTACCGCCACCACTACTGCGACGCTTGTGATGTCTGGGCAGGATTGTTTCCTGCTCCTGGACGGCAGATGAGAACTTGGGACCTATGGGTGAGGACGAGACGACCACCCCCACCTTACAGGTAAACGCCAGCTTATCATCACTCAAATATTCTGATTTCTCGAGCGACGTTCGCCTGTAGAAGTGGTTGTAACCCCTACAAAATGCACAGAACGTGTGATCAGAAGGACTCAGAGCCTATGAACTCTGCGATTTGTCATCTCAAACATCTGACCCTTTCCTCCTGCCACATTCCATTCAGCGTACAATATGAGCTCGTCCCAAACTACTAGGTATGACGAGCTCTCTATCGGTGAGTCTTTTGTATACTCTTCCATCGAGAGGATTACGAACATAGCCTTGAAAAAGCAGCCCAGTTGCAAAATGCTCAAAGTCCTGATCATTCTAAAGAGCGTAGAAATGCAAAGACTGTGAACTTGAAGGAGGTTCAGAAAGCGCAAGAATCTGCTAGAGCAAGAATCAGAGGTGGCAGTTGGGATGTTTGAAACCATACAGAAGAGTTAGAGGGAGTTGAGGGTGAGGCAGGCACACGAGAGAGAGAGAGAGAGAGACAAGGAGAAGCAGAAGAAGAAATTGAAGGGGTGGTACCGGTAGGTACCACATGCTGCCGCGGTACTTGAGGTTGTAGGGTCCATGCTCCATTTTGCGTTCAAAATGACTATGTACCTTGTGCTTTTTCTTCTCGGTCTGATCCAACAGAGTCAACTCAAACAGGGCCCGGACATCGGCACCGTCACTCAGACGGGCTATGAACACGGAAACGTACTGCGTTTCATCTTCTCGATTTTTGCCGTCTGGGTAGAAGTAGATGGCCCATTCGTGTCCTGCCACTCGGAAACTATCACTAGCTATGTACTTGCCCACACCGATGCCCTTGGCAAGCGAGTAACCATACACGGTAAACTGATGACTGCCCACCACTACCTCGAACCTCGCCTCGCTTCTGGCCCCTGCAGCTTCTGGATCACCTCCTGCCCCTGCTCCTGCTCCTCCTCCCACAGCATCGCCCCCACCATCTTGCAATTCCATCGAGCTCCGTTTACCCTTCGGAAAGTCGCTTGGATCCTCAGAGTCTGCGATTCTAAAAGTGACTCTCTTTCTCTTCCCCTGATCAATGTCGTCGGTTCGTTCCGTGGTATTGGCGATGTTGAGCTTGGTGCTAGAGATGAGAATCGAAGCGGAAGCTCTCGGGGGATGGGTGCGTCCAGATCGAGCTGTGCACGGATTGGGAGAATGATAGTCAAAGCTGTGGGATCCAATAGCTCGGAATTGGGACCTGCTCCTGATAAGAGCTATCCCTGAGTTGATTGCGATTCTATTTCTCACAATGCTCTCGAATGCTGACGCTGGACGGTTTCATCCGTGAGTGGATTTGAGCAATCACGAGTTCATGAGACGCACTTGGCCATCCACACGACTCCAGTAAAAAAGGGAGCTGGGACCTGGGAGACTGCAGCGCTCTCGCTCGAGAAGTCAGAACGCAAGCACCGTTTGCAGAATGTGATGTGGAATCTTGTGGATAAAGTGGGGTCAGAGAGTCAGCTTTTCCGCACATGTACTGAAGCGAGTGAGGGATGGCTTTAATTCGCGCCCGACTTTTTGGTCAATGCCCTGCCCCACACGACAGAGCTGCTCTCGGGGTGGCCGACCAGTTACCTTGGCACGAGCTTCGTTTCACGGTGGAGCTGGAAAGATCGACCGTCGGTGCTTCGGCCACTGCGTTTGCTCATTGACACAAATCTCCAGCCTGCAGTAGCAGCAGCAGGTCAGGCCGCTGTGCGAGCTGGATTGTCAATCAAATCATGCTGTGGCCTGTGCCATGCATTTCCAGAAGCAGATGGGCTTCCGATTCTCTGTAAAGAGGTCGATGGCATCAGGATCGAAGTCCCGCTTTGGAATGTGAAAGGGCTTTAAACGTCACACATTACAGTCTCACAGGCCCCACTTTGGAGGTCGACCGTCTCCAACACAAGATCACCGATCGTGTACACACTCGAATGGCATGATTCAAGTTTCCTTTATTATCATCTGCAGCCAATGACTCGCACAAACTCAATTGTTACGCAAATTGTGCTCTTGCCCTTCAGATAAAGGCATTGCCTGCAAATGACAAAGGACCTCCACTACTGGAAGAAAAATGCTGCTGATTTTCTCAAATGCTCTCGATCGGTTAGTGCAGATTGCTTTCTGCTGATCGCGTATTAGCAGCATGACAGCAGCTGAGAAATTTCCACAGGGTCCCGGCTAACAGAATGCTTAGATGTGAGGGCGAATTTCCACATGGATTTCAGCTTCTCGACAGTTATCGATGTCAAGCATGTTCGTGCCACATGAATGAGTTATATCAGAGAGAAGAATAAGTCAGCAGTGTTAAATGTTTCTTTTTGCGAGTGAGCTCAGAAGCTGGCGGTGGTGGAACTTCCAACGACTGTCGTACAGGAATTGGGCTGCCAGTTCCAGTACTATAGTACAGAGCACAGTGTCCATTTGTACCGAGATGGTTGGTCCAACAAACTGATCACAAGGGTCACAGGGACGACCCTCTTGAATATACATTTTGTCTGAGAAAAGTTAATGCCGTTGACAACAACATTGACCCCGTCTCACTTTGGCAGTTGAGAATGATCGATGTTCGTCCTCTCGATTGGTGCCTCCATGCACCTCGGACTCATTCTCCATTAGTTTAGTGCAGAGCATCCATTCTTGTCTCCATGTTGGGAGGACAGATGTGTCCATTATCGCTGCACCAGCCTCGCAAGATCTGTCGCTGCTCAGGAGTTACATGTATCTGTAAATGTGGAGCCCAAGTACTCTAGCATAAAACATGGGAAGATCCCGTGGAGTTGGTCAGATGGAGCCAAACATGTAATATTTATAATGTATCCCCCATGACTCCTACACAGAAGACATATGAAATGTATAGTTCAAAGAGCCTACATAACTACCAAAGCATCCAATAAAACATCGAGTATCATGATCAATGTGACATTCATTCCAACACCTGGTGCTCTATTCAGAGAATGGATATATTCAGGTTTGAAAAATGTTTAATAATATGGTAGATAAGTAAACTGATACCATGTATGCCAATTGGGACAAATGCGATGACTGTCTTCATGGATCCATGTAATTACAAGGCTAGAGTAACATTTCTGTATAACTTTCAAAACTTTAGTTTATGATGCACCAATCCAACCCAATCGACGATGTGATAGAATCACTTTCTTCATAGGTGCATCATGGAGACTTTATAACCAAAACTTCTTCAATATTAATCGCATATTCAATTCTATAAACTCAAGTGAGTTACAAAGTATGCCAATGCTCCATTTTTCTCGAGTGTTTAAAATTCTTTCTCTATAACCAACATCACAGACCTAGTAAATCATAACTGGTTATACGTATATTCAGAAGTATATGTCTCTTTTTGCATCTGAAGTAAAACTACACCGACAAGTTTATAGTGAAAATGTGGGTCGTAGACCTCAGTCATATATAACTTCAATGTTACAGATAAGTTGATTGGTGTAAGTACTAAAGTCACGGTGCTACGATCTTCGAAGTTGCTTTTCGTACTTTTAGAGCCCTTCTGAGATTAAACAATTTGTCATGCAACAGCCGTAAGGACATGTAAAAGTACCACTCCTACACACATAGAGATGGAGCCATGTAACTTTTTGGGTGGACCACACCCTCGTTTCCTGCCGTTGTTGGAATCAGCCATCCGCACATAGAGAGAGGGTGGTAGCATTACTCGCATTGTTACACACCTCCATCGAAGGATAAGACTTGCTCTGCACAGAGCTCGTAAATTTGAGTGTTTTCTCGGGCTCTGATCCTCCACCTTCTCGTCCTACGTATGTAACAATCTGACATCGAGCTTCGTCACCTTGTTTTACAGTGTGCTTCCCATCCCATCGCCTGTTCTGCTTGACCATCGTCACGACTGCTGCCTGGGTTCGACATCCATGGAAAGTGACGGATTGCAAGTCCAAACCACAGCGGGGTAGAGTGGGCAGATCAGCCACTTGGTGAGGCACGACTCTCATTCTTGTTGATCGAAGTGGGAAGTTGAGAGTAGACTTGGACTAGTCTACTCGTGACATGGACCTTGGGACATTGACAGTGATCTCATTCGTGATCTTTGCAAATGTCGCTGTTTCAGCTGCTTTGATGACGATGTCGACGAATCAGATGGCAACCTTGCAGTCGACAGTACGGAACATGCGGTCGCTTTCCAAGGTATGCTTCCGAAACTCGATGATGTAGACCTCTGGCAAGGGAATGGGTGAGGCACTCTTCGTGCTTTTTTTGTCTTCCGGTGACTCGGGTCGTTAGCTTCCTGACTACTAAAGTTGGCACATTCATCAAGTCAGTGGTCTACTGCTCTCCCGAGAGCATTCAAGCTTTTCATGCTACAATCGAGTATGTGTGTTATTGTAATCTATCTTGGTTCATGAACCTGAAAGTCTTCCCAACTATGACTTCCCATCTTGTTGCCCGAAAGTGAACACCTCGCGCTGATTTGCAGGCTTGAACTGCAAACCTTGCCAGGTTTCAAAGTCTTCCAGTTGATTTTCAAGTATTTGACATGAAACATCCGCAAGGTACATGAGAAGTGACGACAAGAGTTGTGAGACCATCGTGCAGGATCGGTCCAGGCACGATGGAGGTCATCGTACATAGTACAAAACGCACGCAAATAAATTTTTGCCCTCTGAGTTGTGCAAAGCACTGGAAGTTTGGAATGTGTGGGAAATCGCTCGTTGTATGCTGGAATGACAACTGGAATGTTATGTGTTTCTTCTCCTCGATTGTTTTGGCCTCAGAGGGAAAATAATATTTTGCAAGCGTTTTGTGTGCTCACCATATACCTTCTGAATCGCATCTCGCTCCTGTAAGCTTTCACGGCAGGTAAAAAATCACTTCACTTGTTTTCTTTGGCCTGCTCGTTGGAAACCCCTTTCTTCGACGAGATACGAAACTGCACCTCCAAAGTTGGACATTTTCTCTAGAAAATAACGTAATTCCCCGATTGTCAGGGGCAAAAGAATTGGCTTCTATACACCCTCATCTTGTCTTCGCTGCCTGTCCTACTTCCTACTCTTCATGCCGGGCTCGAGGGACGCTCGATCGATCCGATGGCAAAATAAATACGAGCTAACACAATGCATACATCTTGTAGCATTTAGCTTCGAAACCCTGACGTCTGGATCATCTTCTCAAAGAAGTTTTATCCACATGCCACCCGCAGCATCCCTGTATCTGGACGTACTGCTAGACCAATGTGGTGCAAATGTACAAGATGATGATGTTGATCTGTTCAGGACTTACCGGATCATCTGATTTTTCTGTACTCTGCTGCTGCTTGCGGAAGAATACTTGTGGTGACAGAGGCCGGGCTTCGGGCCATGAGACTAGCTCGCCAACAGCTCACTTTGTAAATCCATCCAGAACCGCAACTGATACGCAGAATCCAGGCAGCACAAATTGACACAACGAAGCTTAAACGAGTTCATTTCCACGAGTACCTACTGAAAGCCGACCCAAGACTGAACTACTTGCATCTCCTTTCCATGCGCAATCAGAAGGGCCTTGCCATCATTCGCCTCGAGTATGAATGTTCCCGCTGATATGAATTTATAATTACATACGTTTGCTCGAGAAAATCTCTTGCAGAAAAATGCAGGGAAACCCTAGTGGAAACCCTCGATGATGCTGCGCATCAGTTCCCGAGGAGCAGGCCCGTCGGTGAAGAGCTCGAACTGACCGATGGCTTGCCTAATGAACATTTCTATGCCACTGACTACAACAGCTCCCATCTCTTTCGCTTCCCGCAGTAATCGCGTCTCCAGAGGATTATACACAGCATCGAACACCAGATCGTACTTCCTCAGAGCCTCCTTGTCCAGCAGCGGAGACGCAGAGACATTCGGGTGCATGCCCACCGAGGTGGAATTGGCCAGCACCATGCCAGGGGAAGCAGGCAGGTTGGCCAATTCTTCCAGAGGAAAGGCAATGGCTCCACAAGATTTCGCAAGCTCATAGGCCCTTTGGAAATTCCGGTTGACGACGATCACCGTGGCTCCCCTCACCTTGGCCCCGAAGGCCAGAGCCTTCCCAGCTCCTCCTGCACCGATCACCACGAAGGTTTTGCCTGCCAGAGGCGAGCCCTCGCTGGTGGCCAGCCCACGAGCCCGAAGGCCATCCTCGATAGCGCTCAGAGCGCCATCGCAGTCGGTGTTGTAACCCATGTATCGGCCATCGCTCTTCCTCACCAGAGTGTTCACAGCACCGATGTCCTTGGCCAGAGGACTCACTTCGTCGGCCAAGATGATGGCATCTTCCTTGAAGGGGATCGTCACGCTGAATCCGGCGAAGTCGGGGGCATCGAAAACCTTGAGAAATTCCCCGAGATTGTCCACTAGCAGAGGCACGTAGACGGCATTGTGCCCAGTCTCGGCGAAGGCAGGATTGTGCAGAAGAGGGCCCTTGCTGTGGCCCACGGGATTGCCGATGATTCCATAGACTTTGGTGTCGGCGTTGATCTGCTTGATTCTGTAGATGTTGATGAGGTCGGCAAGAGTCGGTTGCCCCGGAGCGCTTTCCTGGCCCGAGGCGAGAGTGCCGAAGGTCAGAAATCCGCCGAATTTCGGGGCGAGAATTCGACTGATCAAGCCCTTGGGCCCCATGACCAGAGTGATGGTGGGAATCTGCGCGCGGCTCTGCAGCTTCAGCACTCGGCCGACGTCGGTGATGTCCTCGGCCGTGGTGACGAGCTTCACAATGTCGGCACCCGTGGCCACGACCTTGGCAGCCAGAGCTCCCAGCTCCTCCTCGGACGGCGTGAAATGGTAATTGTGGTTGGACACGATGAACTTGGTGGCCGACGACGAGCTCTTGCTCTTGCGAGCGGCGATGAAATCCGTGGCGCATTGCAGCTCGACGTCGACGAAATCGGCTCCGAGATCGGCCGCCAGGTGCAGGGCTTGCAGGCGGGGAGCCTCGTCGCCGATGTACTCGCCGCCCTCCCATGTCGGCCTGTAGGTGACGATGGCCGGCAGAGTGCGCGCGTCGAGCAGCGTCGGCAGATCGGCCTCCGCCTTGAATCCCTCGATGTGGTCGACCCGCAGCTCGACCAAATCGGCTCCCGCCGCTTTCGCCTGGCCCATCTTCGCCACCATGTCCTCCACGGACTTGGCCACCAGCGGCGCACACACCAGACACCGGTGCGCCATCTTCTCCTCCCGTGCTCGCCCCACCTCCTGCTCAGCTATGGACGCCGTCGTGACAATCTTTCCTCCACCCCCGAGCTCGCCTTAATCCTCACCCCCCACCCACCTCCGAGCTATGGCCACCCTCGAGCTCCACCTCGAGCTCCTGCTCTGCTCTGCTCCTGCTCCTGCTCCCGGCGACTGCACGGAGTCCTGCTGCTCGCCCTCCACGGCTCTCCAATTGGCCGATCGGCAGACGCGAGCGCTCGAAGGAGGAGGAGGGGCTCGGAGGCGATCGATTCCGATCGATTCTCCTGCGCAGCTGCACGGGGGATCTGCTCGCTCGAGCTCGCTCAGCACGCGATGGCGATGCTGGCGATGTCGGACGGGGGCTGGGTCGATTTGTCGCAGGACCGAACGATGGCGACGACGAGAGAGAGAGGATCGTCGAGCTCGCGATGGCCGACGGCCTCGCAAACGACAAACGCGCGATGCTGCTGCTGCAGTCAGTCAGTCAGACAGTCAGTCGTCGGCCTCTGGGCCTGTGCGCCTCTGCGTCCACCTTCAGGCCCCCATATCTGCCACCAGCAATTGTTTATGCTTACTCTGTACTTTGCTCGGGGCCGGGGCGGGCCAGCCCCGGCCACAGACAGAGCCTCGGACGGCGCACGAGACGAGACGAGCGGATTGCGCTCGCTCGCTCCCTGCGGCCCCTACGCCGACGTCGTAGACGTGCTCCGATCAATCAGCGTGCGAGGCTGCCCAGGAGCTCAGCTCAGCTCAGCCCAGCGAGCGATCGATCGAGCGTCGAGCTCGCTTCGAAGGCCTGTGTTGGCAGGGCTACTCTGATTCGAGAGCTTGCTCTTTGCGGCGCGATGGACCCGGATGACAGACTTGGTCTTCGGTTCGGGCGATCGAAATTCTACGAGGATTTGTTCGCTCCTCTTCTTCGGTGAAATTCGAGATCGGTGAAGTGAATGTTCGGACGGTTCTCGCGGTTTTTGCTCGTGGTTTCTGGGGCGGCTTGGCCTCTCGTCACTCGAGACGAGAGGAGATGGTGACTACTCGTCGAGATGTGGGGATGGAATCGTCCAGTTCGCGAATGGTTCATGGAAGTTTCCGATCTGTGGGCTGTGGAATTGATTTCTGGAGCGGCGTTTCTGTTGTTGTAGCACAGGCTTCGGACCTCTTGGTGCATTTGGGCTTCAAGATCAAGATCAATTAATTACTTCAACCAAAATCTCAGACGACAGGGACCGATGAGAGTTTGATCTGAAGCCTTCAGTATTTTCTACTTAACAAACTCGAAACATTTCCTTGCTCTTCAAGTATTTCACATCAGCTCTTGGCTGCATGGAGCTTCTTCGCTTTCTGGTTTGGTTTGAATCTAATTCCAGGTATCTGCCAAACCTCCCGCAAGAGCTTCTGCAACGAAGAAAATCTCGAACAGACTACTGACACAATCTGCAGGGACAGCACCTGCTCTCGCCCAAATCCTCGGATTATAATTTATATTAAAAAATTAATTTAAGATTCTATGGTGTTAATGTATAAAATTATTTTTTTTCATTCATATCTATTTGAAATAATGTATAATTACATATCTCAATATCTATATTAAATGTTGAAAGGTAAGTTTAAAAGCCATATTTTGACCGAGCGTTTGGATCAAAAATTGAATAAGCTTTTGGTAATTTCGCAAAATGCATTTAGATTTTATAATATAATGTAAACCAGTAAATAGAAAGTTAAAAGTTCCAAAAAAAAAATTATTCCATCATTTTTTCTACCGTAGTTAACAAAAAGATTAATTGAAGCATTTTCAAAGTGCTTCTGAGTTAACATTAAAAGTGACAGATTTTGACAAGAAATTGTGATTATTTTGTGAACTTTTGACACACCATTTTCAAAATTAAAATAAGTGAGAAAAGTTTTATTCCAAGTCCAAAGATCATTGATTGTAGATTAGTGATTGATATACACCGTTCTCTTTGTGTTTTGCCAAGTACTCAGCCAGTGTAGACTGATTTGCACAACGAAAATAATGTCTTTAGGTAACAAAGGCCTTAGCAAAATTTTGAGCAAGTCGACATGCGGGCATTTACATCTTCAATCGATTGTTCGAGCCAAGAAATGACGTTCTTTCGATCGACCTTGTATTTGCGTCCAGGACCAGGATAAGAGTCAATCTTCCACAAGACGTAAGGCGTCTTGAAGGCCTGTTTGATCAGTTTGTTGGCAATCAAATCGCATATTTGAATCAAACTAGTGCACCCGGGAGGAATATCTCCCAATGTGATGTTCAGGTCTGTAGCTTTCTCTTTGACTTGATCTCATAAATGGCTAGAAGTCACCTCCCAAATCAAACCAACCTTCTCGTCTGCATAACACAACGCCAAATATTCCAAGTAAGTGCAGCACCCGTCTTTGTCCATCCAATGCTTTGAATGAAACGTGACTTTGCTAGGCATCCCAAGAAGAGAATCGTCTTGAAAGCGTCCCGTTAGGCTGGCCAATCATGATAATCATAGAAGCAATGAAGTGAGATTGTAACATCTCACATGCCACTATCACTGTGCAACTTTTCTTGGCATCCTCGACTCAGTTGGAGCCAACTCGTCGTACATTCGTTTAAGCAATCAAATGGGTTTCTTTCGGGTAGAATTGAAGAAACATTTCGTCCGCATTGACCAAACGGATCACACCAGCAGATCGCATGATGCTACATATCAAGTCACACGCATCCAAACAAATTTGTAACCAATTGACAGCAACTGTCTGGGAGATTGATTCCTTCCGAATCAAAAACCGATGTCTTTCAAGAACTCTGGCGACCCATTGCAAAAGGCTTGGAGATATTCGCCCGAATGTATCTTCATCTTCACCTCCCATTTAGTGCGTTCCGCTTCCTGTTCATGACCAAACTTTGAGATCAGCAGATCGTAGACTGCCAATTTGCTCAATGGGTTGCATGTATCCCATTTCATCACCATAGTCGACATAAGGAATTTTTCTTGTTGAGCATATTTCACTATTCTTCCAGAACCGACAGTCTTGATTGTTTGGAGAAGTTATGTGATGTTGTTAGATTTCCCGGCCGCTTTCCGATTGTTTTGACGAGTACCGGAAGATAAGATCGAGATGTACTGATGACCTGGAGTGGAATTGCAAAACTTTGAATCGATCTGCACCTGGCTTGAAGCGTTCATATCATCGTAATCCTTTCGATATGTGAATGGCACGTCGGGCAGGATATCAGAGACTTTAAAAGTCTCAACATAATGGACCCATTTACCAAAATATCTTTTCTACTTGATTCAATTCTGAAAGATCATGACATTGATCGAGAAAAGAGATCATGTCAGTTCTTGATCCATGTTTCCTAAAGACTTGTGAAAGTAAAAAAATATGACTTTCGATTTCTACTCCCAAGTTCTTGTACGATCCAGAGCAATGATATGTTTCCTTGTTATTGTAAAGGATTTCAAGAGCTCCTTCATCAATGTACGGTGAAGTTGCCACTGAGGAGCCTCAATCACAATCTCCTTCGGGGCACAGCTTGAGCTTGCTGCCGAGCCCAACTCGACTGTTTCACGGTGAAGTTCTGGAAACATTTCACGACGAACCAAGCGTAAAACGTCCTTAATGTTCTGTTCGGCTCTGTGACGCTTCTCTTGAGCTTCCACCCATTTCTTGTTTTCGGGATTTGTTAGTAAGAACCGCTTCATTTCGGCTCTGTGACGCTTCTCTTGAGCTTCCACCCATTTCTTGTTTTCGGGATTTGTTAGTAAGAACCGCTTCATTTCAGGTGATGACAAGTGACGACCAAGGATGGTATTCCACGACGGATGTCTTTAACTCCGTCACGGACTCCGCCATGCGGCACGGCAACAAAAAACTTCAACGGAAACTTCCACAGAACCTAGAATCGACGAGAATCTCCTACAATAAAGTAGCATTTCCAAGGGCGATTTTTTTGACATTAAATCCAGCTGTAGTGATCTTTTTGTTAACAAAAAATCACAATAACTTTAAAAAGTGATGGAATTTATCCAAATTGTGATCTTTTTGAGAAGCAATCTTTTTGTTAACTACGGTAAATGAAAATTCCAAGAGAAAGAGTTATCTCGCGCCCCTAGGTTTTCTCAAATGTCGTGAGTTTCACTCCCACTTAACAACCTCACCTTCAATGGACCCAAAGACATTCCAAATGTGCATCTTACCTCCTAAATGGAGAGGCATTAGCTTTCTATGGACCCAAAGACATTCCAAATGTGCATCTTACCTCCTAAATGGAGAGGCATTAGCTTTCTATGCTCCATGAGCTCATCGTCGCACACGATGCCAATCGATCGAAAGGCACTGCAAGCCAATGCACCAAAGTTTGAAGCCTTGTGGTATTCCCTTATGTTGATTTATTCCCATCTTGAAAGATGATCTTCTATTTCAATGGGCTTTAAAACACGAAGCATCAAAGTCTCATAGCATTTTGATTTATTTGTTGTTCTTAACCGTTCGATATAACCGTTCTATATTGACATTTGACATATTTATTGATCATAAATATCGATCATATGTTGACACACTATCGATGAAAGTGACAAATGGTGTGAATCAATGATCACATTCATATGCTCATAAAAAAAGCCCTTATCATAACTCTACCATACATATGAAAATATGCACAACATCTAATTTTTCTTGCATCGAGCAATAGTGATAGTCCAATCACCTTGGATCATTCAATGAAAGTATTCTCCAAAATTAAGCTAGTCAATATATCTCCCAAAACATGAATTTTATAACTTATCTCAAATCCATAGTTCTATGTGGAGTGAGGACTTGCACTCTAAACAACCAGATACATAACGACAAAAGACTTGTGGATAGAAAAAAATCGATATTTATCTAAAATAATTTTGGATTAATCAAAGAACCTTACAAACCTTGAAATCTACAATGGTTTGATCAATTGTATTAGACTACTAGTACCTAAGAGTGTAATGAGTGCAGTAACAAATAGCTCATGATTCCAGGAATTCATTATCATCGTGTCCATCTGCAATATCAAAACCAGACTCGTAGTCAACATCCAATAAATCGTTGTCATTTGGTAGATTGACAACGTCTCGGGTAAATTATATTTCCATTTCATTTCCATATATTTCTATTTCAATAATTTTTTACACTCAAAACCACACTAGTAACGGATCTCGTTTGCTATTAAATTGAAGACTGCAACAGCGCAGCAGCCAAGTACTTTAAAACCCGAATTCATGCCAATAAATAATTATGGGTTCTATAGAAAAACATTTTTTAACCTGATTGCAAAATCCTGATGGTGCCAGCCATGCTTGTAATCCCATCTCACTCCACTTTTGATGCACTTTGATTCCAAACCGTTAATTAGAAACCAATGGATCATTCTAAATAGATCTCTTAAAGATGCTGCCAATTACAGAGAACTCCGTGATTTTTCCATTATTTTGTCTTCCTTGACTATCTGGATGCCTGTTGTTGTTGTTGTTTTGCACGGAAATGACCGGAAGGTCGGGTGGATGCTGGAGGTGAAACATCTGCAAACATCCTGGTAAGACAAAAATATAACCGCCGGCATCCGAGATCCATCAAGTTTACCGGTTATTTATGTGCGGCATTATCGACCTCTACTCGAGAAAAAGAGAAAGTCTACGTGGACACGATCGTCCGAACCACGTAGGCTAGGAGGTCTCTCCAGCTTACTGCGGTTAATCTGGCTTCTCGGTTGAGTTTGAGCTGTGTCGGCTGTGGCAGCCAATGAGGAACAACCAATTGGCAGACCGACTGGATCCAGAGAGAGAGAGACAGAACTGTCTAAAAGTCCTTGTTTCCAGTTTATAGTCTGGACCGATGGATAACGCTGTGGGCACGCACTACGTCGGGGAGGGATGCGTCGTCACAGTTGGGAGAGAAGACGCAGTAGCAGCAGAGGACGAGCTCGAGCTTTCAGGACGCACAATTCCTGCCAAGGCCCTAGCACGCGAATGTCCTCTAGAGATTTGGAGCGCGGAATTTTTCACGGTCGGAAGGATCGATTGGTCGCAGACGCCGAAGAGCGTGAATGTTGGATTTATCCTGGTTGTGAATTTCAATTTTTGTGGGCAGGATTCGGAATGTCGGGATCAGAGATTATGGGATTCGGTTGAACTGAGCTGAAGCTGAAGCTGAGAAAGGTTTCCTTTGATGGGGCTCGATTTGATTCAGGAGTGTCAAAAATGCATCGGCCTTGTGAGATTCTTCGAAATTTCCCGTCTCGTGCTTCTGATTGCCGATAGTGTTTGCTGTCATTTGGATCAGAACGATAAGGGAACTTTTTCTTTTCTTGTGTCTGGTGTAATTTGTGTGTATGATTTGATCCCGTAGTCTGTCGTTGGTACCTTCTTGCACATGGATTTGTGGCTGAATTATTTACTAGCATTTATCTAGGTCTGGCTGTTTACATTTTTGGCCGGGTTGGGAATTTTGACAATCAGTGAAGCACGTCGGTATTCAAGGTAGTGTTTGTATTATAATTGGGCGACATATTATGACTCAGGTCGCAGAAGATGCGGAAGATGGAATATTGTATATGGACGCCGGAGCTGGGGAGGCTTTCCATTTCAATGGAGGGCTACCCTCGCTGCTTGAACTTGGTGCTCGAGCCATTTGTAGCCTGGAGAATGCGTCACCTCTTGATGCTGTAGGTCTCTTTTTATGAACCGACTACCAAATGTGTGGATTTTACTGAATCCTGTATCCAGATTGTATTAAAGGTGTAGCAGTGTAGGTTCCAGTTCTATGAACATCTGTCCGATCCATTCCTCCGTGTCATGTATATGATTTTCAAGTCACATTAATGAAAAGTAAGAACCTGATTCGTCAAAATATCAAGATGACGAAGACACGATCTATCTATCGTTGGTCCAGTGGTTGTTCACGTTCAAATGGCATTGGTAATTTTCAGACATGACATTGCATTCCGTGTTCAAATACTCTTGTAACTCATGTATGCGGAAGTTTTTCCCACTGATTTAAATCGTTAAGTTGAAGACCTTGTAAGACATTGCGCACTTTGCCAGCATTAGCTCAGTTCCGACTATTTGCAGCTCTCATTCCTCCATGCTTAGTTATAAACCCATACTTTTTCTGCTCGTCTCCTATCTTGTCTGTGCCAGCTAGAATGCCAGGATAAAAGATGAGTTAAAATTCGTCGACTCTTTTATAATGGATTTTTTCATAAAACGAGGGGAACCTCTTAAAACACCTCACCAGGTTGTTAATTGTAACTTTTGATCCTGTTCAACCTGTGACTGCAGGCTGTTTCATGGAGAGGGCCAGATCAGGGAACGGCTGAAAAGATTATCATTTTAACCTCGAAGTTATTGACTGATTCTCATCCGCATGTTCTACGATGCTTACGAATGCATCGATCTGTCAAGCAGTGCACAATTTGGACTTCTATTTCCGAGGTATATGGTTTTTTTCTTCTTTGTTATCATTCATTTCAAATTGCACTCGTTTCAACGCTTTACCTGATTAGTAGCTAGTTTGGCATTACCTGAACACTGGAGTCACAGAGGTCAGTCAATCAAGCGCCTTACAGTATCCACTCTATCTCTGAACCCGATGTTATATTTCCTCTCATGTCCTCTTGCAGGAAGCCCATGGAGCACATCCAGATACATCGTTTGGACTTGGTGCTTTCCATGATTATAAAACCTCGCTCCTGCGAGATCTGTCAGCATCTACAGCACAGCCAAGTGGAGGACTCATGGAGGACGGAGAGCCTGATTCGACAGCACAATCACCCAGTTGGCAAGCACCAAGCATTGAGTTGAAGCATTTCCCTATGATGATTTGCTCCTTCACGAAATCCTTATTTGTTTTACCATCTGGAGGAGCAGTTGCGCAGGGTCCTCTATCTTCTTATCAAGATACAAATGCCGTAAGTCAGGGTCTGCCAGGAGTAGACATCTCGGCTACTGCTGGCGATGAGCACATTCCAGCCGGCGCAACTCTCCTTGCACATTGCTTGCAACATGTGGCTGCCCAGGTGCTGCATTGCTTATAATTTGAATATGTCTTTTCTATGCTCAATTTCATTCGGGCTTGTTGGGCCCGTAGATTTGCTAATTTTCTCGTCGTTTACATATTTTGGCCACCTTTTCACGTTTTCTTGTAGTCTATCGGTCCATAAGGTTGTCTAAATATTTCTACATTTTAAAGAAGGTCAGTCTTCAGGCTCAATCGGATCTTCCACGTGCACAGAAAGATGTTGGCTCTCAAAAATGTATTAAGAACCTAGATATACTAATTACTTTGAGTTCCCTTGTCTGCTTGCAGCTCGATTTGAAACCTGAGATTTTCACTCTGGGCCCACTCGCACATGCAGTTGGGAAGGTAATGGCAGGGCTTCCCAGCCCTCCCGATAGTGTTGGGCACCACCGACGTCCGGCAGGACTAATTTTTATAGATCGAACTCTGGATCTCGTAACACCGACGACCCATGGTGATTCTCTCCTGGACAGGTGTTTTTTCTCCTTGTCTAGAACACCACCGCCAATCAATACTTCTCCAGTACTACGATCACAAGTAATAACATCCACAGTTGAGCGCCCTTCAATGGACATCCGGGTTCCTGTTGATTCAAGCGAAGCGAAACCAACAGATTATGCCAAAATCGGTGTACATTTTCCCTCAGGACCTTTACTACCTGATTGGGAAGCTGTGGATCTGACCAACGAGCGGTCAACATCTGCAGGTGGAACTGCTGATATGCAAAGACCTGCTGCTCCTGTTTCTTACAGTCAGATCGTCAGGGAAGAACGTAATCTGTATGGGGGTTCACTTAGCACTTCATGGGACAGACGAGGGTCTGACTTTTTAGAAACTCTGATTGGAAAGCGAACAAAAGATTCAGTATTACAGATTCGCAAGTGGCTGCAGGAAGCTTTACGGCAGGAGAAAATTGATGTTTCAGGAAAGGGTCGTCTTGGAGTTATCAGTGTAAATGAGCTAAAATCGTTGAGGAGAGCATTAGCTGAGAAGCCAGAAGTTGCAATGCGACACACGACATTGATACAACTGACAAGGGCAGCAGAAGAAGCACTAGCAGGGGAGTCGGCCACTATATGGGATTCCTTTGCCAGCTCGGAAAAAATTCTGATGCTCACTGCTGGAGATAATACTCAAAGTCTTGCTCTACAGCTTAGCGATATCGTGCAGCAGAGTGCACTAAATTTCCGCAGGGCTCATGAATCTCAGTTGCCAAAGGGAGTTTTATCCTTGAGAGATGCCCTAACTTTGGCCATTGTTGGGTACGGCCTCGCTGGTGAGGGCATGCCTGGTATCACACATGGCAGTCCATTTTCCTGGGAAGAAGAACAAGCATTGAAAGAAGCTGTGGTGGAAGCAATTCTGAAAGGTCCACCTGGAGCACCTCTAGGCTTCCTGAAGACTTTGGAGAATGGCCTTGCGACAATCTGGCAAGGAGGCAATGCACAAAAGGTACCTGATATTGTTAAACCGCAAAAGAAACCAAAGCAGGTAGATGATGATTGGGATCGTTGGGAAGGGGTCGACGAGGACGAGGATGATGATGAGGAATCCGAGGAGTACGGGGAAGTGCAACTAAAGCTGGAACTGCGTGACAGGCTCGGGGAGGTTTTTGCAACTTTGCATAAAGTGGCAGCTGCTTGTGGACGAGGTCCTCTCCGGGAAGTGCCTCTCCCTGTAGAGAGCCAAATTAGTGCAGGAGCTGCCTTACGCACGGGCCTCATTTTCAAAGTACTGTCTTTAGCTTTCGCAAAAATGGATATTCCAGGATTAGAACACCATGCCTCGGGTATGGGGCGTTTCTTCAAAGGTGGCCTCGGGAGATTTGCTCTAAGACAGGTTTCTTTTTACCCACTGTTCTTTATATTATTCACATCCGACGCCTATATTGAGCTTGCTTTCACTTGTGATATCACCTTTTCAGAATCCTGACAAGCCTTTGATTTCATCATTTGCAGGCCAAGCCAAAGTTGAGTGATCAAAAAGTTCTTCTTGTGTTCATCATTGGAGGCTTGAATTTTGTAGAGGTAAGAAAAAACTATCTGCGATCCTTCCAAGTTACAAGGGTTCACGGCTTCGGTTTTGAAGCTCAAGCCTACGTGCTACGCAGTAAGTCTCAGAAAAGTTGGAGGTTCTTGGACGTGGTCCGATGTACTGTCTCACGTTTGAGGTTGAATGTCGGCAGGTCAGAGAGGTGAGGGATGCTCAGGCTGCTATTCCGGGAGCGGAGAACTTCGAGGTGCTTCTGGGTGGAACTACTCTGCTCACACCCACCGATATGTATGATCTTATGATTGGATCGTGTGGTACACTGTAACCAAGAAATGACTTTGTTCATATGCTTGACATTTTCAATCTAGTCCCAGCCGCATTGGCAGCCCCCGGTGGAATTAGTGAAAGACAGCATAAGTTCGTACTGTATGTGATGCCCAAGTTGTAGATAGTCGCAGGGGCATCTGTTAGTAGCCTTTGACGGTCCGTACCAGGAAGGCCTTTAGCTCCGTTCTTCTCGCAGGAGACATATCGTCCAATCACATCACCCCCTGAATTATGCTGAATGTTCCACTTCCAAATATATAATTTTTTCTTACCAGTATTGTGGTACTCAGCCCCAAGAAGTGAAGACCACTAAAATGTGGGTAGAGCTTTCAACGATGTTTTCCATCTGGCGTGGTCATCATTATGGCCACGTATATGTCAGTTGAGCACGTTCTTTGTCTAGCATGTTTCATGTACAATGATTATACAGGAGATAGAAAAAAGGATGACTTCAGAATCTTCTCAGTCGAGATCGCGAACCAAGTTTTTTTTTTGGGGTATGCGAGTCATTATCCGTCATGCCATGACATTAAACTTTGTGACCGATGATGCCAACATGGAACCAAATGAAGCAAGTCATTGGCCGCAGTGCTATGAGGAAAATATGAAACGGGAATACTTGGAAGGATAATACACAAACTTTTACAAGGGCCCAAATTAGCTTGAATCAAGATTGATAGTATTACAGATAAAGTGCAAAAGGCAGCCGGAAAATTCAGGCTTTGCTGTGTTTGACTTACCACTCCACATGTCAAGACTCCCACTGCATTACTAGCACCACAACCTTGCACTGCTTCAGCTATACTAACATCATTTCCAACTTCCGGTGGTGATTACAGTGAGGATCCGTGAGTCACCTCTCCTTGCCACATCCGAGAGGTTCATTCTCCAAAATAATCCTAACTACGTTGAGGGTGGATTTGTATAATGTTGTAGAATCTTGTACGTCCCACATGTCTTAGAAGCTTGAACAGTGAAGCAGGGAAAACGTACGAAGATTACATGAACGTGTTGTTTCTGTCTCAGCCTTCGACTTACTTCTCAGCAATTAAATTCTCTCCGTGCTACTTCCAACCTTTTCTCCACCATATCATAAAACTGCGGTTCTTCCTTCTTCAAGAATTCCAATGTTATCGCTTCATGCTCCTCAGCCTGCAAAACCACACTCTTAAATTTTGACGTTTGAAAACTGCAGCACTTTGGAGTCTCGTGGATGCTGCGAAAGAATCAGGATAGCAAGTAAAAATGCTGAGATTATAAACATGAGGGTATACGGCGAACAACTTCCATTACCTCTGAGAATGTGAAAAGGACCAGGTTAGCTATTGACGGAGGTTTCGACACATCCCACCTGGAACCAGATTCAACAGTCAGAATTTGAAAGCAAACTTCATAACTCTTGCTTTGCCCTGGTTTGATGCATGAGAATTGTGAATTATGCTTCTGGAAGCAAACCTGGTGAGTGTCAAGGTCTTCATTGCGTTCCACATTCCTCGTCCTACTTCTCGAGATCCTTGAGCTCGTGCACTCCTGCCACGCCATATCTCGCGGACAACGTATGCAACCTCTTCCTTGTCTAACTGTAAGATATGAGTCGAATTTAAAATCAGGGAAGCAAACCACAATAATTGATAACACATGGTGCAAATTTTTAAAGACGCCAACTGCATGACGCACTTAGATCAGACCGAATTGTTCACCTGGGATGTGTAGCTTTCCAGCAAGTCCATACCTCTACTTCTGAAGCTGTGCCAAACAAAAGCTCTTCACGTTCTACAAGTCGTTGGTGCAGCAAGGCATAGTGGTCCACATCTAAGTTGAGAACGGGCTCGGTTTGTACAGCCAGCCCTGCAATACTCGTAATCACGTACGAAGCCATAACTTGGCCAAATATAGCAGGAATGGTACCCAACACGGGGATCGTCCTCACTCTGAATCCTGGAACCACCTGATTAACAGGAACATCAATTAACGTTGCTCATAAGAAACTTCACATTGTCAATAGCCGTCAATGACAAAACAGAGATCCATCAAGGGGAAGTCAAAGTTTTGCGGCCATTGAAAGTGTCTTCAGCATAGATCTTTGTAATAATAGTAAACGAGTACATGGAGGATCCAGATGCTATCATACGGCCCAGAATGTAATAGTTTAAGTTAGGAGTACAAGCTGGGATAGAGATACTATATCCTTCAGCAAGAACACACGATACAATGGTGTTAGTCGAGTTAGTCGGCTTTGAAGTCGTACTTCATCTTACCTGATAATCCAGAGGATTCGCTTCTTTGCCGTCTGGTGCAGTGAAAGGCAGCAGCTTTGCTTTTGGCCGCTCCGTAGAGATGACGACTGGTATGCCACTGGTAATATTGTGTTCTCGACGTAACCGATGTCTGACCTGTTCATGTGAAAGAATTAATCAGCGGTCTTAGTAAGAGGAACTTGAAGGGAACTCCTCTCTTGAAGCGCTGGCAAACGACAAACCCACCCAAAATATCAGTCGAAGGATGCATGATGCATGATCATGGATCATTTTTCTTGAATGCCAAGCGCAGGTCTTACCGAACGTGAAAGTGGGTCGATCGATGATTCACTTATGTCAGTTATCCGAATGCGACTTGGATCTGCTCTTGCACCTGCTCCAGTGGCGGACAGGACTTTCAAGCCTTTCCTCACACATGCTGCAAGAAGCGCTACCTGCACGCAAGTTTCGTCTTTAGCTCAGGAGGTCATAAAATATACTTCAGGCCCTAGAGGAAGAGGAATCTAAAATTTAGTGGCAATTAAACTTTTATACTTGAGTAGGAGCAACGTCAAGTGTCCTATCGGCGAGATATTGGTGACTGCGTTTGCGTTTGGAAAGAATGAGCTTACATTCGCGTAAGTCGAGAATGAAGATGGAGAAAGCAAAGTGGAGACAAACTGTAGAGTCCATTCGTGTACATCCTCACAAGCGAAGCAATTACTCATACTGGTAACTCAAGAAGGTATAGAAACCAAGATCGCCATGTTTATGAGGGAACGATAAATTTGATTATAACAGGCACACCTTAGTATCGATGTTATCTATACAGTCGAGGATGAAATCTGGAGATCCCGCTAAAATCTCTTCTTCGGTAGATGTATCAAACATCTGCACCCTGGCATCTATTTCACATTCTGGAAAGATTTCCTTGAAGTGCTTCTGAAGACATAAAGCTTTTGAGGTACCAACATCTGCTCGAGTAGCTACTGCATGCCGATTTAAAGATGATAAGGACACCTGGCAGAACAGACAGTTAGATTCCGCACATTAAGGTTCCACCCCATATTGTGAATGCAAGGGCAAGGTATTCAGTTCCAAAAGTCCTGGCCAGTCAAGAAGAAGTCATCAACCATTGGCACTGCCGGGAATTTCAGTTCAGACAACTTAGGACAAAGTAGGGAAAACCTGATCAAAATCTATCAAACGCAACTTGGCAATCCCTGCTCGAAGAAGCATGGTCGCAGCGTGGCTGCCCACTCCCCCAAGTCCGATGACAACAACCATGGATTCATGAACTTTCTTCTGCCCATCTTCACCATAGAACTGAGTATTTCTGCCTCGACAAGCGAAGTAATTATCAGCACTTTTTGCCCAACAGATTTTCGAGAATGGCTAAAGCAGTGATTAGCATTGAAGGCAAGCCTTAGAATTCCTCAAAACCGCACACCAATCTAGTGTGAAAAAAGGGTGCGATATATATAGCCAAAACTGGAACAAATGTACTGGACTTTGATATCTTACTTGACAGGTCAAAACTGCCTGCTTGTCAGTGTTGAAATATATGACAGCTCCGTAAATTAAAGGTTTACCTCGTGAACTGCTCGCTAACAATGTCATCGGTAATAAAGTCCAGATCGGCAGAGGAGCCGATCGACTCCATTCTCTCAACTTCTGTAGCGAAGAGAACTCTTGATCAGTTCAGTGCAAAATAAAAATTACCGCTTAATAGTCACCAGAACCTGATGCAGTTCGACTTCTGCAATTTACAGCTAATCACTGGATCACACAGATTAGGACTGTGAAATTAAACCCCGAGTACTCGTTAAACCTATTATGAGAAGGTAGGAATCATCGAAATCTAGGGGAACGGAGGCAGTAGTGAAAGCAGAGATCTGGAGTTGAAGCAATTTTGTAACTTGTAGAGTGTGAAATCAACCAATCCTATCGTAAAAATTAAAGTCACAGAAAGGTAGTACGTAAGAAAAGAATTTAAATTCCACAGAATCCCGACCGAGGCCTTTGGGCCAAACTGGAGTTTTTGAATTTTCCACTCTCAGAGTTGCATTAGAAACTCTATGGCCAGCCTTGCTTTCTATGTTGCTACAGAGTACGGTACTGCACCTCCAGTACAGTTTGAAGCAAGCTAAAACCTCTCATGTTATAGAACTGTAATGCTTAAGACCACTAAGTTAGCAAACATGTTATCACTTGCAGAAAAGGTCGCCTTGAATTCCTGGAGAGAAAGTTTACCATTTCGAATAACTTCAACCCTTCTCGGAATTGTGTTCGCTACCGACGGAATTCCCGAAGGCGGCTTCTTAAACCACTCCACTGCACGCTTCCTGAAAAGAGTCGCTTAGTTAAAAGAATAAAACACGACAGCTGAACGTGCATTGGAACTATCATCACCGACTGGATTGCTTTTCGCCAAGAGCTGTCATCAGCTTCCAGCGTGGTGCGAATTGAAATGCGCAGCTCGAGACAAATCCAGTGCACAAAACCTCGAGAAAAAAATTAAAGACGAATGGACTCTCACGAATTTCCAACATTGTCGACTCAGTGACGCGAAACCGACAGCATGCAACCGGCAAGTCTTCTCAGATTTCAACAAAGCTCACGACGGCCCCAATTGCAGAAAACGAAACGAAACTGTGCAGAGATGGTGACAACCTGTTGCGCGGAGATGCTAGCAAGGTGGTGATCAATGAGACGGTGGCGAATGACGCGAACAAGATCGCCGGCCTCAGGGACTCCCTGGACAGGCGTAGGTCCTGCATTGCGGCCGTCGATGCTTGCCTCCCTCCCCTCGCTCGCTCGCTCGTGCTCGTGCTCGCTCCCTCGCTCTTCCGCTGTCATGAACTCGAAGCTCAAGCTCGTGCTCGTGATCGCCCTGCCATGAAATCGAATTATCGCTAATTTCACCGCGCACCCGTTCGAATGCTAATCGGTTTTCAAATAAGAAATATACAATTCATAATCACTAAAATATTTGAAAAGCAATTAATAATACTAAATATTTATGAGAGTAAAGTTATACGCTTACCTCCAATAAGAGTATATTGATTGCACGTAATAATACTGTTTTTTTAAGTTTACTTAAAAATTATATATTATATTTGATGTTAATCTCACAAAAGTTCTTTTTACTGGTGATATACTAAGATCAAAACATTTAGAAGAATATCAAGTGATATTCAAAAAAGACAGAATGTTAAGTAAAAGAATTTTGATAAATATGAAATATATTGGTTCTTCTTACTTTGATATAACCCCAAAAAAGAATTTAAGCACATAATATGAAACCGTAGTAAATGTAGTGATTCCAGTCTAATGTAAAAGTTTTGTTGTCTGTTGATATCATCAGATATGTAGAGCAAATCAAAGATGGAAGAAGATCGTAGCGAATTTTCAGATGAAGGCTCTGTTGGATTTTGTGTTCAGTCTGTACCATACAGTGTCACATTAAAATGCACTGGTTGTGTTCACAAATTTTTGTATGAATCGTACTGTTGATTTATGATCGATTGGTTTGTTGTTCGTGATGTTTGCAGCAGTGGCACGTGACTATGTTCCTGCTGAAAACGCTAATTTCTCTACAAAGGAGTCACGAATTTCTGTGGCTGATTCTAAGGTTATGTAGTATCCTGCGAGATGTTCGAGAAGAAGAAACTCGTCACAATGGGGGGATGATTCACTGACCCTATCTCAGGTTATCCAATTCATCTCTTCCAGCGTGTTGACTAGCAGGTTGTTTCATGAGCAAGAATGCTGGTCACCCCTCGTCCAGGACATGATTTGCGCATTCCTTCCTCCAACACAGTAGAGCTTGAGTGTTCCCGAATGTACACATTCATCAACTCATCGAGGCGTGCGTGGTGGACTGTCTTCGTTTTGTGGCAAATCCCACGCAAAAGTTACCGATTCCTGACATATCAGAGTACATTGGCATGGCCTGCGAGTTTCCTTCTTGCTTGCACAAATATCGGCAATATTGACATTTCTGACACAATGTTCAGATTGTTTCTGCTCTTGAGCGGGCTTTTCAAACAGGCAGGGCAGGACCTAATCAGCTAAAGATGAATCCTGTGCTCTAACTGGCCGGTGCGGTCGGGGCGCTGCAAAGGTACAACGATTCTGTCCAGTCAGAAAGAGAGAAGACGCATGTCTGCAGAGAAGATTTAGAAGAATTTGGATCTGGTTTAAGTTCAGGAAAGAGTGGCAGTCAGTCGAATCTGAAAGTTGCTCACCGTTGGGATTGCCTTGCTCGTAGAATCCACGTAATAACGCAATGCCTTCGTCTGCTAGAATTCCGCCTACGCACTCGAAGCCCCTTCTCTTTGCAGAATCGCCATCATCCTCTCCGGAAGAGCTATGAACGATCACCAATGTGAAGAAAAGCTCAGTCAGAAAGAAGCGAGTGACAAATGCCAATTTTATTTCCGATGCTAGCCACAAAAAAGAAGAGAAATTGGCAACTGCTTTTGGTCATTTATTTACGCACCTGTTGCCACATCCACCACAGCCATCAGTGTCCAGAGGAAGTATGGAACCACAACCTCCGAATCGATCATTGCCACAGCCGTAGTAAACTTTTTTGATACCTGTGCATGGAGAGAAGCACACGATACGAAGTCAATGTTTTAACGTGCCCACTTTCAGCTAAAATCTTATGTCAGCGAGACACTACAGTATCTGTGGTTGGGAAAATACGCTTCAGTGTTCACATCCCAGGCCTTGAAGATCTCGGGGTACAGTATAGAAAACACTCTTGATGGCAGACGAGAGAGTTGCAAGACTTTTGGATGACATGCGACCGAAATTAGCTTCCATGGAAATGAGAAACCGACAAGTCACAAATCTCTTGATCTGCCCAGAGTAGAAACCAAGTCTTCAGCTGGTGAGGCCCATGGCCTCACTCTGATGGATAAGGAAGTACCCAAAATGGCCAACGCAGCTGCACACATGATGCAGGGTTCACACGTGACGTAAAGCTCACATTCACCAAATTTCTTCGTCAGTTGCTCCTTTATGGATCCCGCCTCTGGACACTCAGAAGGTGTCCACGGAGCCAGGATCATATCCACAGCTTCCATCTCCGCATGCCTTGTTGCCTGCAAGCAACCAGTGCACTCATAAATCGAGGGCAGCCGAGACAACACCCAAGAGATAATCTGGCCTTACACAGGAGCTAAAACCAGTAGTCCAAATGCTAATTACAGTGTTGTCGAATTGGAAGACCTTACATTCCTAGTTTCATTCACTCGGTTGCTGCCGGAACCGATCACCTTGCCATTTTCGACAATCACACACCTGGACGAATTCAGAGGGTTTTGCATTACATTGGAATCATTACGACTTCAATCCCACGCTATGTCATCATCATCCAAGGTCTGTACAGGAAAGATACTGATAGTGAGAGATCCAGCAAACATAACATCCACAATTAATTACATACATCCGATGCAAGTGTGTTAAGTTCTGCACTGGACATACGAAAGAGACTAATTTCAACAACACGTCAGGTTCAGAAGTCCAAAGCTTTTGAAACTGGAAAACTCAAATGTACATGCCTCGATCCGACATCAGGATCGTCTTACCCCACAGGCACCTCGAGTCTTGCTAGCGCCTTCTTCGCCTGAAGGACAAGTGCGGAAATGAGTTAAAATGAACGCTAAAGTCGAAGCGCTGATGTCCACTGCTCTGAAACCTCACTCTGCTTGATGGAAAATGACAACTCATTTGATTCAGACTCGCTACACACACAACCAGATCAATGGAACTGCAATTTCGTTCTATCTAAGGACCATAACAAGGAGTACGACTAGGAAGACAAGACATTCATGAAAGCAGATACTTTACATTAAAATTTGCACTGACATAGCATTTATATTGTGCAAAAATTGATCCATGCTTGCCTTGAAGCTGGAAGCCAGCTGCTGGTAATAGAAACACTAACTGCTTAGACTACTGATGACAAGTCAGCTGCCAGGTATCGACGAATCATGGTGAACTTCAAATTCGACCCAAAAGAAAATGGTGTACTTAACCAATCGTGATGCAGCAGCACTAATTTTCTCATAATTGTCAGTGGCTCATTAGATGATCAGACGCTGCTCACGCCCAGTCAGTTCTGTACGAGGCCATACCTCTTCGACCGCCAAGTGCATAAATGTCACAACATCGGACGACAATGTTCCGTCCATGAAATTCGAGTGTCTGTCAGAAGACTTATTCCAAAACCCGAAGGTATAGTGAATTCAGTCGATCTTCACTTCCCACTCATCGAATTTTGACCACACTCAAATTCGAAATGCCCGAAGAAGCAACCGACGCCATGAATTGCTGCCGCTTCCACACCCACGATCCTTTCAGCTAAAACCCCTAGTGCTTCGATTCTCATTCAGCTGGACAGATTTAACGAGCAGAAAGACACAGCAAGCCCAAAGCTCTGTTCATAACACTCTTCCAACGAAATTGAATGTCATAGCCGAAGCACGTAGCAGCTACCACCCCTCGCCCGGAGCTCAATCACTCGCTTCCACTGCCAAAAGCATACTCTGAATCCCGAGCTCTACGACGAAATGCGACCCCGAGCACCGACCAAAACCCTCCGCTGGCTGACAGTCCTGAGGTGCGATCACCTGCTACCAACAGTTGCGACTCTGCACGCGGACCGCCAGCGACCGGTCACAGCCGCCGGCGCCGTCCGACACAGTAACGCCAGATCCAAAACCTCGACGTGGATCGGAGTCACGATCCATCGCGCCCGTCCGATTGCGCAATCCATTGGCCCCGATCGGTCGGTGTACCAGGTTATAGTCCAGTCGGGAGTGGGGGCGTGTCGTGTGCCTACGAGGTTGGCAAGGGTGACCGGCTCTCAGGGGTTTCCGTGCCGACGGGAGATCCAAGAAGGGGGAGCTGAAGCAATCGATTGTTCAGATCTGAAAGTCGCCTCGAGGCCATTTGCATTTCCGCCTCCGAGCGCCTGATGATTTGGGTCGCCATCGCCATCGCCATCGCGATCGACTGCTGGCCGATCGGATCGATAGATTGTCGCTGAGCCGCATTCTGTCGAGTGAATTAATTCTCTCGACCTCCTTTCGGCCGAGCAGGTGTCGTGGTGACGGGCGAGAAGATCGCGCTCTGTGAGAATCTCGATCGCGCGAGACAGAGAATCGGTGTCGATGGAATTGTTGTGTCTTGCGTGCAATTCTTCATCGATCTGTCGTTGCGAGTAGAAGAAATTCCTTCTCCATCTTGAAGCACTGTCCCCAGGCCTCTGTGGCGAACGACCTTCTCGCACGGATATGAAGAAGAGGCGACTGAATTCTCACTGTGAAGTGATAGAGCTTAGGGTGTATCGATCGAACTTGTTGTGTTCTTCTGTCGCGGGCGAGAATTTCATTTCATCCTATTGCCATTGCGGAGATGGGCTTTCGGCGCTGAAGTTTCGCGTTGCATGGTAGGCATGAAGAACCAGGAAAGAAGTTCTTTGTGACTCGTGAGAAATTCATGCGAGAGACGACGATCAAATCTCAGCGTCCTGTCCAATGACGGAGGCTGAGTGTCAGGCCGTGAGCATGAGCAGCGGTTTCACCTTTCAATCCGGTCGATTGTATGTGAAACACTATGCGAGGAATCCTTATGCTGGGAACGATGAGGAAGAGTGGCTCTTTCAAGATACAGGGATGGTGAATCTGCCTCCTGCGTCGATCCCGCCCGTGCCCGGCCGTAGTTCCGCTCAGGATTCCGAACAGGGGGCATCGACGGCAGCAGCCGAGAGGTCAAGAAGCTCTGGGTCCCCGCGGGAGATGTGTGTATTGGATGAGGATGATCAAATCCTGGAGATAAAATCCGCCAAATTCTATCGATGGTCGCTTCTCAGGGACTTGTTTTTCCTGCTCGGTTGTATTGCCACCGGGGGAATCGCTGTTATCGTCTGTTCGACTTGGCCTCGAGTTTACGCCAAAGCACGATTCGTAGAAGTGTCGCAATGTGATGAGGCCGCAGAGCGTGTGCTCGTGGAAAGCATGGATGGAACCTTGACACTTGCCCACATTCAATGGATCTTTACCGAGGACGATGAGAACTTCTGGAGATCTGCTGGCCGGGCTCTATTCTCATCTGACGAGGTACCGAGCTTGTCTCATGATCATGTTTTGGACATAACGTAATCTGAAGAGCTCTTGTTGTCCAGTTCACAAACGTAGCCACAGCAATGCCACGAAATTCACTTGACGAGTGCAAAAGTAGGAACAAGGTGTAAACCAGTGAACGAAGGTGGCAGCAGCAGCAGACGGGAGGAGCATCATACTTGCGGGAACTTCTTTCAAATTCTCTCTTCTTGTTGGTCCTCGAGATTACTCCGAGTTCAAAACGCAATTTGCACCCCTTTCCTCCGGATGAAAAGCTGGAAGATTTCTGTATGGCCAGAGTCTGTATATACAAGCCGGGTCCGGATCACGAGATGATCGATGCAGCGAAGATTCTACATCTGAACCATCCTTCCAGCTCACATGGCTAAACGACGAACTACACCATCTGTAACTGATCCCGTGAACAATGGTCAGTGGAATAGGTGAGAATAGCGCAGATAGTTGGTATTGCACTAGACCCGTGTCGTTGCGCGGGTTACCAGGAACGAGACTGTGGGGAGGAAGGATTCGAGCCATTTGGACTGATGTCCGGGTTTTTCCACCTGAACGAATACATGACGTTCCAGGAGCAAGACCGCACGTGTCAGAACAGGAACACACTCACTCATCTGACCAACAATCTGAGTCAACACCTAAATCACATACTTTTGAAGTAACGATGTGGCATTTGAGTGTGATCAATGAAATCTCGCGAATCCCTATGTGGGTTTTATGTAAGGGCGAGGAGAAAATTTGTCAGTCTCTATGTAGACCGTGACCATTTCCAAAATAGCAACTTCACAACTCTATGTCAGATTTATATTATTACAGGCTTTCGTTCTAAGTCGTCTGTCCTGGCAGTCGATCACGAACAGGCCTCGAATGTTCATATGGCGTGAAGAACGCTTCTGGTATAATAATCAAACTGGCAGCTGGACACGCAGAGGTTTTAATACGGATGTGACGTACGCTGAACTGCACTCCGTTGCAAGCAACTGTGCCTTGAAAGAGATTGGCCATGATCCGGAAGAAAGTAAGTGAATTGCCTCGTCTGGTTCTGCACTCGAAAGTCAATGCCTCAGCAGAATGATAGTGGATTCACGGGAGTACTTACCCGAACTTGCCTTGCTTGGCAGATAAGAAGTCCGATTCTAGAGAAAGGCGAAGTCTCGTTTATGGCCCTAATCAACTTAGTGTGAATGTGCCCGGATTCTGGTAATCTCCTCCCCTGAGTTTATTTCAGTTTCTGACGAAAGCTCAGTTGCCAATTTCCATCATCTAGTAATGATTCATAGCTTTAAATTCCTATGACGTTTTGTGTGCAGGCAACTACTTTTGTTGGAGATTTTCAGACCCTTCTTTTTATTTCAGGTTTTCTCAATCATCTTTTGGATCTGCTCATCCTATCAAATATACGCATATGTCATCTTAAGCCTTACAGTTGTCACAGTTCTGTACAACGTGGTTGAGACTCGTCAGAACTTACTCGCTGTCAAGAAGCTTGCTGCTTCTGAATGTGAGCTGAAAAGGCTGACGCTGGTGGCAGATGAAACAGCTGAACTCCGGTTAAGGCCTGTTTTAGTATCCTCTTCCCAGTTATTGCCAGGAGATATTGTGCAGGTTGAAGCAGGAATGATTTTTCCATGTGACCTCGTGCTTCTTGTCGGACAATGCGTTGTCAATGAATCGATGCTAACTGGAGAGAGTGCTCCTGTGCCCAAAACACCGCTCCCGTTAGGGCACGCAGCGTTTGGCCAGGTACTTGTCTTAGCTTGCCGTTGGGTTAATTGGGCTCTGCTTCGTTTTCCGGCAATGTTTTTCAACTCAACATCCTGATCTGAAGCTCTTGGTGCAGGTCTTTCGAACACAATCAGAACGTGATGGCAGATATAAGTTACTGTCTGGAACTAAAGCTGTACAAATTAGGGGCTCTTCGAACCCTCATGCATCATTTTCTACCTTCGAAATGGAAGGTGATCCTCCTGCATCGATTTGGCAGTTCGTGTCGCCTCGATCGACAAATTTGGATCCCTTGGCTATCAAGGTGCTTATTGAGACCGTAACTTGTAGGTAGACAACTGCAACACCTCTTGTCAAAGTTGACTGCTGCGAAAGTTGATGGCATGGTGCACGTTGACTTTAACAACTGTCTGTACGCGAGCAGGAGGAAGCCACTCCAGTTGCAGCTATGGTGATCAGTACAGCATATGGAACAGCTAAAGGACAGCTTGTTCGAGCTATTCTTTTCCCTAAACCGTCCAAATATGACTTCGAAAGGAAGCTTTACTACTTTGTTGCGAACCTTGGCGTCTACTTGATTCTGGTTTGCGTTGTCACGATATTTTGGCAAGCTGGTCGGGTAAGCAGACAGATAGTCCTTCTGCTTCACCTAAGTTTAATTCTCGTCTCAGAGTCTCTTCCCAGATACAGAGAGCTGCTTATCATTGGAACAATTCTTGTATTGTCTAGGTTCATGAAATTCTCATGGTATTTTAGCGTGAGTCTGTGCAAAGTATTGAAATAAATAGTTTCTGGCCTTTCTTAGAATAGTCGCCCGTGAACTTGTTTGAAAATAGGCGCAGGTCAGATTGTTTATACTACTGTCTGGTGGTTCTATTTCAGGAGACCAAAATTGACATCTTCAAAAACTGCATCAACCTTATTACCATTGCTGTTCCACCAGCTCTGCCCCTCGCTCTTTCGATTGGTCTGTCAGTTTCTTTCACACGTCTGCAAACAAAGGGAATATACTGCATAAATCCAAATCGCATAATCAACGCAGGACGTGTAAATACTTTGTGTTTTGACAAAACTGGGACACTCACTGAGGATGGTTTGAGTCTGAAAGGAGTGATACCGGTTAACTGCGGTGGAAATCAGACTGTACCTAGTTGTGGAACCATGGAAGAGGACCTTCAGGCTTTATATCGTCAGGGTAATCAAGTAAGAATTAACAACCCTGCACCATCGATTGTTTTCCTGAATCACCATTGGAATCACACGAGTACCAGCTTAAGCATATCCGCAGTTTTGATCAAGCCTTCGAACTGCAGGCTATGTTATCCGCGCAAGGGGATACTTCAGATGATAAAACCGCTCTCTCCTCTCTTGGACTATTTTACACGTTGGCGGCGTGTCACAGTATTTCCCTTTTGGATGAAACAGCAGCTGAGGCTGACTGGAAAAATAATGAAGGATCGACTGATGAGCTTGGCGACAAAAGCCAAGGTTGGAAGAAATGGTTGTGCATGGGTCGGAGGAAATCTGGGTCTGGGAGCTCCTACAGTAAACAGAGAGCTCTCCGGAAGGAGGAAGAAGAGTTGAAATCTACCATTCATTTCATTGGAGATCCGCTGGAGATCCAAATGTTTTCAAAAACAGGTTAGTTTATGACTTTCGTGCTTCTTTGTTCTGTAATCTCGATAAAACGACCGTCAAGGGCCGAGAGATCGAAGATCTCTCGGCTGACATCGGTTGTCGCGGACCTAGAAGAAGATCATGGACTCTAAATATCAAAGACGCGAGAACGCCGGTTTTCGGACTGTCAGGATTCCTTACGGGTTCCAGGACAAGTCACCTATCAACTTTGAAATGTATATCTCAATGTACACTGTAGAAGTGCATATAACATCACCCTCATGTGCTAACGTGTGAGTGACAGCTGGGCATCAGTTATTAATCATATAGGATACACTGTAAATTCTGCGTTGTTCCCTCCGTATGTTTCAACAGTGGACTAACCCTGAAGTCTTCTGCTCAATACTTTAGGCTGGAATCACTTGATCCGTCCAGATGACCCAGTAATACGTACAGAAGATATCACAGATCCGCCTATCATTTGGACAAATATGCACCCCTCAGTTGAGACAGCAATCATCCCTCCTCAAGAGGTTGATTCTCATCAAATCCTTGCGGTATTGAGACGTTTCGACTTTGACTCAGAAATTCGCTTGATGAGCAGCATTGTGCTTGAACTGCCGTCTTCCAAAGCAACTTTTGAGGAATCCAGAATCTGGGTGCTGGTGAAAGGAGCACCAGAGAGGTGAGATCCCACTCTGTGCTCTATCTTCATAACATATTAGTCAAACCACAGTTCAGCACATTTCAATTAACTTGTTCTCCCTTTGGACTTTCTTCTGGACTCGAGTTTTGAATACCACCGTGCTCCTTATCACTCTAAGAGTTACATGTCGGTGTAGTGCCAGTTTGTGTTAATAGTAGGGTGGGTAGAGCGTACTGCGTACATCAAATCCTGGGCATGGTTCAACGAATTATATTTAGTACCACTTGTGAAACAGTCACTGCAGATTCTGTCTCTAATGATGATAGAGACACGTGAACAGGCAATGATTCAATGAATCACTCGCATGTTATTTATATGCTTAGGCTCTTTGAGTAGCTCATCGTCCGGGCGGCGTTCAAGACTGCTGTGTTACCACTGATGCATGAATTTGGTACAGTTTGCAGGAAATTTGTACTGCCGAATCTTTACCTCAAGACTTCACTTCTCAGCTCCAAGAACTTACACTAAGTGGTTACCGTGTTCTTGCATGTGCGTACCGGCTGCTTGAGTCCGTTACCTTGCAACAGGTCAGGTATCACAACCTGAGTCTCAGATTTTGGATATTTTCGTGTGGCCTTCCTTTTAATGATTATTCCAACGTATGATTTGTGTCCGTTTCTGAGCTTGAGTAACAGTAACTTGAAGCTTATTATCATCATTCAGCGACCAGTTTCTAATAATTTTTCTCATAAACGATGATCCAGGTATTGGTCGCAAATCGTAGCCAGATGGAGACAAGCTTAACTTTTTGTGGTTTTATGGCCATGGAGAATAAGCTGAAGGCAGAAACCTCAGGCGTTTTACTTCAGTTGGCTAAAGCTGGTCTACGAGAAGTGATGGTGACAGGGGACAACCCTTTGACTGCAATTTCTGTTTCCAGGTTTCCTACTAAGCTGCCTCTTGCCAGAGAGTTCGTATCCAGTGTATTTGTTATGTTCTTTGAATGAGCTTTATGAAGCTACTGTAAAGACGTGAGTTGGTTGTATCGTAGGATTCACAATGAAAAAACGCTAAGTCAGGGAGGAATGTACTGGATCTTTCGAGGTGTTTTCTTGCAGGCAATGTGGCCCTTTCTTTCTGAGATCCTCATGCCGGACATTCCTAATCGATCGTGCTGCTGATTCGCATTCGGTGACATGTAAGAGTGGGTGTGTATTGAAGGATGTGGATTCCGAAAGAGAGTGCGACCTTGATACTATCTTCCCTTCTTACTTGGAAGTTGATGAAGTGGCTGTTAGTCCTGGGAGAGAAGTAAGCACCGCAAGTTTCATCAACTGCTTAGTGTCCATTAGACAGGTGTATAAATGACAAACTGATGTGCTGGTTAGCTAATGGCTTTTAACTTCTTGAAGAACGTTGGTCAATGCTAGCTCGTTAAGTCATATCTTCGATATTTCCACCTCCAGCGTGAAGACATCCAATGTCCAATCGAATACAGAGTGGGACAAAGTTTTGAAACATGGACCTGTAGGGTCCCCTGCACTTCTTACCAGAAAGTTATTTTTCTCACGAAACTGCAGCTTTGAATCATTACAACTGGCAAAATATGTTCTTTGTCAGTAAAGAACACTTTTGTAATGATGATCATCATACCTGGCATCTTCGAACTGCAGAGTACCTTGGGTACAATGGCTCCTGTAAATATAGCTGTCACGGGACGCGCGTTTTCTGCTCTCTCGGTACAACATGATCAGTTGATGGAGCAGTACATGGAGAAATCCGGTTCTAAGCATTTCAAAGTCACTGATTGCGTCACCCCGTTTCAGATGGTCCTGACCCAAGCAAATATATTCTCTCGAATGTCACCACAGAACAAACTTGAACTTATGCGCAGTCTACAGGATGTAGGCTACGTTGTGTGCATGTAAAAATTCTCATGCCTGCTTAAATCTCTTTCTTTCTCTGCATAGCGAAGCCAAATTTCAAATGTCTAGCTTATCAAATACGAGGTCATTTAATCTTATGATAACTTAATGATGTATCCAAATTTACGATCATTCTAGGGTTGTGATTACCCCTCAAGAGCAGTGATCTCTTGCATACCTGATAATCTGAGAGAAAGCTCAAAATTTGCATTCATGTGAGTGTGTACAGGACAGGAGATGGAGCAAATGACTCAGGTGCACTGAAAGCCGCTGATGTCGGTATCAGGTATATGGTCTTTTCATACCCAAACCGTTTCTAGCGTCCTCACTTTGCATGTAACGAGTATTTTGAGGATTTCAAGGGCTGAGGGAAGGAGCTGGTCTGCGAACAGTAGTTCGCAGACCCAGAAGTCCTCCTGAACATTTACCAGATTTGGGTCTCATTTTGCAGCATTGCCAGCAAAGCAGTGGAGAGTACAGATATAATGGCAGCTGGACCTAGTATTGCTGCGCCGTTTTCTACAAAGCTGGCTCACATTGGTGTTGTTCCCATGGTAGGCGACTGATCCATGTGACGAACTTACAACGCCATTTGTCTGTTGGGAGCATGATGTATCTGTCGAGTAGAGAATGTACCCATGATTAAAAAGCCTCGTCAAGTTTTGTTTTTTAAAAGAAATAAGTTTTGACTTTGGAACAGAGTGCCTTGCCTGATTGAATGTTTATGTGCAAAATTATAAGATTTTTATATTCCTAAATTTAGTGTATGAACCTGATCCACATGGATCACTTCCAGATGATGACTCTCCTACCATATCAGGTATTGTGTAGTCCCTTGCACTTGCCATGTTTTTCCCACACTCAATCTAATTTTAAAGTAGATTCTGAGCAATGCTCCTGATATCAGAACTCTCAACCTAACCCTCCCCACCTGCAACCAAGCTTCGATGCCGATTTAGCTACGTTGCTATCACCAACCTGATCTCAATAATCCAACGGCTTACATGTGTGATCAATACGTGAAGTATTGATCATTGCAAAGATGAACTCTCTGACCTCATTCCTTTATTCTCTTAGCACCAATATATACAGCTTTCAGACTGAAAGCTGAGCCTGGACTAACAAATCCAGAACCCTTAACCATAGTGGTTGGTAACTCCGTAGGCCCAGAGGTAACCTGAAGTAAACTACTATTTACATGATGTAATTGGTAATCTCAGAGTCAGTTTATTTCTATCTTTAGCAGTAAATAATACAAGTTAAATACCAACTTTTACCATAGATATTTACTAAATTACAATAGGACTTCAGTAGGGTTTACCAGCCATGAAGCCATCAGCCACTCTACTATAAGGTTTTCGAGTTGGACTCTGGCTCAGCTAGATTGGTGGTAAAGAACACAGGTCATAGAACACACCTTGCAAGTGAAAATTTCGTCAAGTACTAATACAGTTCTGGATTGCCGAGAAGTGGGTTGGAGTTAGTCTCAGCACAAGTGCGCTGAGTGTCACATAGAGAGTTCTGACCTTAGTGCTGCTTCTCATAACTCACCAGGGGGAGTGGTAGCAAGCCATGGCTATTCCAGGAGAATCAATTGTAGCATCAGGCTCTGTTGGTGATACATCTGGAAAATATCCTAATTAACTGCTGGAACAGAGTTCAATATTTGAAGCTTACCTCTTATATCTGATAGTCGATCAATTTGGCTGTTCCTAAGTTACTCCTATGTACTGATAATGAGATTAATTCACATCTCGTATTCTACAACATCTTATAATCGAGAGCCTATGATTGCTAGGGCAGGTAAAGGGTAAGACGGATGATCAACTTTGCCTATGTACATTGTTGGCTCTCTGCAGGTTCTTGCTGAAGGCCGATGTGCACTTGTTAATGCGACAGTTATGTTCAAATACATGTACTTTTACGCCCTCATTCAGGCGACGTCTGTTATGGTTCTGTACAAGTACGTCATGGACCAAGATTTGTCGCTTCTAACTTTTACGATACGTTGAACCCAGTAATTTAAGAAGAAAGAATGAAGTTAATACAACTCTAGCTCTTGAGCTTCCATCAATTTATTTTATGGATTTGCTCCCGATGACTAGATTTGTTTTTCTCCAATTGAAGAGTTGCTGCTGACTCTCTCTCAATGCAGAGATCGTTGGAACAAACACTGTTGTTACGATGTACGTAACTTTTGTGATGTGCAATTCCTTAGTGTGGGTGTTTTCTGTTAGAGAATTTAGTAAGATGTTAGATCCACTCGGTTTACAAGGTCGCTTTTTTGCATCACTCTACGACTAATCCAAGATGAAGATGGATCAAGAATTAGCTGAAGTGGATGTACTTGGTGTGGTTATGTTAGGAACTTTCTCTTTTTTTAATGCTGGGGACTAGGTTTGTTTGGTGTCATTGCAGAATGCTGGTTCCGACACTCATATTTATACCTTCATATGCTTAGTCTAGCTAAGAAGAACACAACGACACGGTTTTACAGCTGATGAGAGAGTAGTCTGAATAGTAGTACTTACTTTTCAGACTTCTGTTTATTGCAGATATCAGTTAGAGTTATTTGAGTATCAGTATTTATGGGCAGATTTAGGCCTCGTGTTTCCCATGGTTCTATTCATGCCTGCCACTCAACCCCGTCAAGAGCTATCTCGAGGAAAGCCCGAGAGTAACTTGCTGGCGCTGCCGATTTTGATAAGTGTGTATGGGCAGAGTTTCTTCATCATGTTATTTCAGGCAATGGCGCAAGTGTATCTACAGCATCAGGTTGGAAGTTTGCCTTTACCCCGATAAGTTTTGTTAGTCTCATACTCTTTCCTGGAAGCCCTTTCTTATTACACGATTTGAAATATAAATTGTGTTTTAGAAGCAGATCTGCTAGTAGATTTCCCACGAAGATTCGACTATCACTCAGAGCAATGTCCAGCTCTGTGCTCTCGGACTGGGGAAAGAACTAGATATGTACAAATATAGATTGTGTTCACGACCTTGAGAGAATTTCAATGAGTTGGAATGAAATCAGGAAATTAGGTAGTGCAGTGGCTGTATAAGCATGCTATTGTCTATTCTGTGTGACTCTGAAATACTGGAGTAACGACTCTCGTCTTTGATCCATGTCTCTGCTTAGAGCTGGTATGAGAATCCAAACGATCATGCTCATGGTACTCATACAGCAAACGAACCAAATTACACTTCAGATCACAATCAAAACAGCACCGTGTCATTCCTCTTCTCCTCATTTCAGGTGACTAAGTAACTCATATTATTCAATATGTCAACTCAATTTCTTGTATTTCAGGGTTTAACCTGACCCCAGCTATTAGGAACTTTCAAAGTAGGGAACAGGAATACTCATATATCCGTATAACAATATACTACGCTGATCATTTGGTTGTCTAAGTTCTATAACTTTTACCATCAGCCTAAAGTTGAGGTGGGGAAAAAGACAAAATATGCAATAACGAAATTATGATTTCCCAGCGTCTACGATGACTAAAAATCCTGTTGTGGGGTTGCAGTACATAAGCATGGCTATGGCACTGAGCCAAAGTTTTGGGATGTTCAGGTGTTCACCATTCAGCAACATTCCTTTAATTGCTTCTATGATATGTCTATACGTACTCTCTTCGGTCTTCATGTTGAAGCCGATGCGATTCTCTATCAAAGCTTTTAGCCTAATCGATCTTTCGGATCACACACACTTTCTGTACGGACTATGGGTTATGGCTATAGGGAACTCGCTTCTCTTCATTATATTTGAACGGTATTCAGTCAATCATAAGTCTACAGAGCTTGACATGGCCAATACACATGATGAAGAAATGGAGGTCGGTCACATTGTACGCTCGCCCTCCACGTTCAACAATCTCATGACGGTGATGAAGGGTGAAGGAGAAACATGCAGCCCTTTGAAGCCTGTGGTACCAGATTTTTTTCGGATTGCTAAAATTGCTAGTCCAGTTTGGTCTCGAGTTTCAAACATATGATGCTCGAGGTCACCATCAGAACAATCTTGACCTTGTATTGAGTGTTCAGTAAGGTTCATCAACCTCAATTGCCAACGATCTACATAGTATACACAAAACAAACAGATGCGAAGCAGACATGCGTCTATGGTGAACTCTACAAATTCTCAGGATTACTTGCCAAGGCAAGATCGCTTTGGCAAGTAATATTTCCGGTAGCAGATCATCCAGAAACCCGGCCTTCTGGTATTTGACGATCACTGATAGTGCTCTTTGTTGTCCAGCATCGACAAACTGCCACATGTACATCCGTGTTGATCTTACTTCTGTACATTACATAAAGTCGAAAATTTGACAAGGTCGTTGAATCATCACGCTGTTGGTGATGCAAAGGACAAGAATTGCCGGAGACATTTGTTTGTTTCTTCTTTTCGCTTGGTTCTCTCACAGTCGTTTCACTGCGTTTCATGCTGCTGGTATGTCTGAAACTCAAAGAAGAACTGAAAGCTGAGCATGACTAGATCACGTGGGTTCAGGAGTTGTGAGTGTGTGTGTGTGTTTTTGCTCGAGGGTTGAAGGTGTTGAGGATATTGGTTCAAGAGTTGTGGGTCCGCTTTTAAATGCCAGGATAAATCCTCCTAACCTATTTTCTGAGTGTTCCAGTCCTTTAAGTGCATTTGGACTTACTCTGAAGACTTGGAGGTTTCACATGCTCAGCTATAGTTTACACAGGTCTGAGGTAAGATATGTAAAGGCAAACAACATGTGATGCTGTATTGCTACTTTTGTCTCGAAATTGTTTTATTCAGTGACTCAACGTGATGTTTGACTCCTCCGTTGAATCCAAACCTGTTTCATAAGATGAGAAGAATGTGGGGTTAGTGGGCTCTTATGTTTGCCTTATCAAGAGCAGATGAGCCACTCTTAAGTACCTCCAGAATGTCGTGAAGGAAGCAGCTGAAACTAGTGTAGGGTCCCGTTTGTGGGTTATTCGTCTCGTACTTACTATTTCTCAACAGCTCATCGATTGTAGATAAAGTTTCTGAAAGCTTGCAAGTGCATTCTGCCAAGAATACCGAGCACTGTTAGACGAGTCCAACAGGTTTTCCTGGTGTACTCGTGGATTTGCAGACCGTCCTTTTCTGAGATTGTTTCAACTCAAATCAGATCTTAAAAAATATCCAATCCCTTGAATGCTCTTTTCAAAGGCATTCCGTGATTGCAAGGACCTTGATCAGCGTATTCCCACCTCCGAACCAGGACGAGAAAGTGTCAGGAGAATGTAGCCTGTTCCCTACCCACTCAGTCATGAGAGGTAGGCCGAATCTAACATTCTCAGAGTAGGGGTGAGCACCTGAATATCTGGCGTGTCCATTGAGGAGCTTTCTAGGCCTCTACGTCATGGAACCACGAAACGTAGGAGGTATCACGCAGGTGTAGGCAGAATCTAACGGTGAGAAAGAACAACGAAATCGGGACGACGGTGGCTGGATGGGGTACCTACAGAAGCGGACAGGAACAGCTCTTTCGTCTATGGCCGGAAAGGTATGGGGCAGTGTCAACAGGTCGAAGGAAAGTTTCTGATTGGCTGCGGACCAGTGGGCAGGAGTTGAGAACATGACCTGCAAAGATATCGAGAATCCAAATGGATCCCATAGCCTCCGGTTGAGAGACAACTTCAGTCTCAAAATATACTTCATCACATCACGAATATCACCGTGGTACCTCAGACGAGCTCGGGTCATGTCTGCAAATCTTACGTTGCTCTGTTCAATTCGTGCTCAGTGATGACTTCTATCAGTAAGCAGTAATCAAAATGGTGCCATCCATCATAAAATCATTCGATAATCCTATTGCCCTCAAATTTCTGGTTATGCGTGTGTTCTTTTGGAACATACATCGTAAGCAGTAATCACGGGCCTGCCATATCTTCCATTATTTTTCTCGTCCGCTAGAAAGAGCAGACTGGAATTTTTTGCCTTTAGAGAGTAAACTTGAAGATCAAGTCTTATCAGCCGCACTCGGGCTCAATACAGGCCTCTGATTCTGCTGACTACGGTGAAAGTGGCCAAAACGAACCATGTAACAGTCGCCTTTTCTGGCAGATCCTTCTCCTTTTCCAGAGAAACAACAAGAGCACATCGGCAGCTCCTCGTATCGTGCTCGAGCTCGTAACGTCCCGCATCTCTCGACCACGTGGACGACCAAAGCTCCTTTTATATCATTTTATCGTTTGTCGAAGACGCCTCCGAGAAAGTAAAAGGAGCAAAAGAGGTTTGTGACGTGACCCTGATTCGTGTTGGATCCGAACGCCACCGAATGGTGCACCATTCACTCAAGACCGATCCATAGGAGATAAGCTAGCGTTGTCATTTGGAACTTGGGTTGGGGTTGCTGCTTTGACCATTAGATCTCGTCGTCTGGAGAGTGAGAGTGTTCACAGCCATCGGTTGCATTTATCTTTCCGTGTAGGTCTCCTTAGAGTAGAATAATTTCAGCTGAATGTGCTCAAGAGTCCATCCAAGACTGACATCCATCCACAATCTTCTACACTACTGAAACGATCATCGGAAGAGTTCCTTTTCATGTTCATGTGATGAGCAAGTAGTGCGTGAGTGTATTGAGCCATGAGTGCAACAACTCCAGATATGTAACAAAGTACTATCAAGCAAGACTTGAATTCCACTGCTTGGAGGAAACAAAATGTTTTCATCCATTGATGTTGTCAGCATTTATGCTGAGGTCCCATTGGTGATGAAAGGTTGAGCCAGTAGAAGCCAGGAGATTCGTGTTCTTCTTCAAAGAAATGACCAATATGCGTGCAACTTGAGAAGACATATTTGTGCGAGAGATCTTTGAAACACGAATGTTTGTCCAAAGAGCCAAAGACTTGTTTTCATCTTTGTGGGCTCAAAATAGAACAATTAATCAACTTTACGTTTGAAGAGAGGACAATATTCTCATTGCATACTGAAAATCAAAGCGAGTCGCATGACGGGTACGTGCTAGCTACATCACAGAGCTATCAGATTCTAATTCGTGTCGAGTAAGCTTTCGAAGTAGGACTTCAAAGACCAAATCAAGTCAAGCCGTCCAAAGCTTCCGTCCTCAAGATGTGACTGAAATATTCTGAACTCTGAACTTCCTCACCCACAAATTCCGATTTTTCAATGAAGCAATGATTCGTGGTTCAGATTTCCATTTTTTCGCCCCAAGTCAATAATGAATAATGGCTCGTGGTCATACGGTCGGACAACAATTGGACTTTTCTGCAGGAATGCGGAAGATGAGGTCCATGTCCATTGACCTGGTGGCTGCTATCAAACACATGAAGCATCAATTGTCAAGTAATTGCAACATCATCTGTGCTAAATTTCCGTCATGCAAGTTCTGTAGTTGGATTGAGCACAGTGCATGCTTTTTTACTGCTCTGTTTAGATGACGACTTGCCCACCGAAGCTATTGGTACAATGATGATGATGATGATGAATAGAAGCATTGAGTCGCCCTTGCCAATGGGCTGAGCTGAGCCTTTTGGCTCTAGCATCGATGGAGTTTTCTCCTCGTCCTCTGATCTTTAGCTGAAAAGGCCAAGTGGGGTCGATCTAGGCACGCGCTTCGCACACGCAAGGGCCGAGAATCTTCAACCACCTTGAATACAGCAGCTTTTATTTCATGGAACTTTCCACCACCTCTCGAGACGACCCAGGTTCTCGAACAGAAAACAAATTCTCCATGATCCTCGAGCAAAAGGTGGAGAAATGTTCCATCGACGCATAAATTTCTTCTGACGTTGGAAATCGCATCATAGAAGCAGAGATGCAGGATGAGGTGGGTTTGCTCTTTGATCCATTCGGAGGAGGTGCTTGTGGCTTTCTCCTTCTAGCTTATCGAAACATGCAATCTTACTTTTGTCTTTCCCTCGGTCTCTTCTTGTGGATTCAAGCTCTCCAATAACAAGGACTGACGACAGAAGTGCAAAGGTCAAAATGGACGTAACTGTAAGATACAATTGGGCCCAGTGCTCATACTAGCGTCCCTCATGGGAGCATGTATCGTGTTCATATCTTATTGTAATTTTCAGCCTTTCTTAAAATTTCAGGTCATTAGTACACCACATTCAGAACTAAGATATATGAGCCTTACGAGGGAATTGTACGACCATATTGTACGACCATACCTTCTGTTTAAAAAGGTGTCGAAAATTCTAGACACATGTAGATCCAGAATGTGTGTGACTTGACTGTGCCACTTAGTTGGAAATTATACCTCACCTCGAAAGGTAAGACACTTATTGTGGTAAAATAATTTACTATACTAGACAACCTTCTCTTCCTGTGAATTATGCAACTTTTGTTCTGCCTCGGTGGTGAGCTCAGACCTTTTGATAGCGACAAGTGCTTCTGTCACAGCTTGTGTTGAGCCTCTTCTGTCAATGAAAGGTTTGCTCAAGAGAATGTGCTGGTTGGCACAAAAGGTGTCTGTAGCAATCCGAACTTGTTCAGGAAAGAGAGCTCATCCGAACGGTGTCGGGACCAATGGAGATTGCTGGGAAAACGGTGAGAATATGACATGTAGTGACTGTCCCAGCCTACAGAATGCCAACTGCTCATTTGTTGCATTGTGGCTATCTAACAAAGCCTGAGCTCACTTGATCTTGAGAATTTGGCCTGTACGCTGTCGTGCCTAGCATCTGCCGCTCGTGTAATGCCCCCATGAAGGACCTGAGCTCCACAGGTGGTCCACACGGGCTCCTGCATCTTCTCGGTCCATGCAATTGAGCTTCCAGATTGAGTCCCCGCATGCAAAGATCGTCGTGAGCATGCCCTCCGAGACGGTTTCGTTGAACCCAAAGGACCACTTCCAAAGGAAACTCGTCCTTTGGGCTCACTGATAAACCCTCCAGTACTTTCTCGTCGACATGTCTGTACGACGTCCCATGAGGAATTCAGGCGTCTAACAACCAACCAGTTTACGTTCAGTGGATCAGGTGGATCGAGCCCGAGCAAAGCAACGCACTGTTGACCTCCCAGACAAGAAATCCCCATCACCAGATCAGAGGAAAGGGTGGTGTACAACAGAATGGGCTTCTTGTGGAGAAATTGTGTCTCCCGAGAGAGTTGCGCAGGATGATCGTGCTATTTAGGCATGGGCTACAGTGGGTGATGAGGTTCGGATATTCATGCAATTATCTCTCGTTTGAGTGCTTCGATGGAGGTGAATCACCTGAACAAGCTATGCTTCTCCAGAGGAGGGATACTGGTACAGGCCAGAGGCGATCAGAACCTCTTGACTTTCACTCTGAGACGTCTTTTCCTGAAGACACGTTATAATGAGCACGGCAGCAGCAGCAAATGAAACTCCTAGTGAACTGCAGCACTAGATTCCCAGACATCAAATCACCTGTTGGTATTAGCGACCTGTTCCTTTCCATTCCAGCACGTCACGAGCTACAACTAGCAATAGCATGTGAACGGCAGCAGTAGATTCCTCTTCATGAAGTCAGGGATTGACAATTGACCCTCGTCTTTTCTCAATCTTACCTCCATCGACGACCCACCTGAGCAAATATATCATTACCTCAGGCATCAGCTACGTAACCATTCTCCTAATCAGATCCATGACCACTCATGTCACTGCTCTTCCCCAGGGCAGCAACAATTTACCGGATCCTAATCAAGTCCGTAGCCACTCATGTCGCTCGTGTTGTACGGGAGTGTCACTCTTTTTCAACCTGGCTAGGACTGTCTTCAGACACCGTCTGAGCGTCTGGGACAATGATGGAGACTTGGCCACAGTCAAAAAAAAGTCTTGTCTTTTCTTGGAAGACACTTCAATCGCTCTGAGTGAAAGTGCGATCAGCCCGTTTTGCACTCTTTCATCTGTCATCCACAAATCAGGCACCGCGAAGATTCTCAGCAATCTGGTCAAATTCGCTGCCATACGGAGCTCCAGTGCACTGTACCTCTAAATTTGATCGACGCTGTTTCCTGTGATTGGAGATCATACCTTCATCTGACAGAACTGCCCGAGAGAGAACAATGCTTTATATAGGAGGCATGGTATGACCTGTACGATTCTCCATTTGGTCTTGCCTTGTAGCACTTACGCACGTCTTGCTCTCTGGAAAAATAATGCACCAGTGTTGAGCCCAGCATCTAAAAGGATCGCTTTAAGTGCCTCTAAAGGTGAACACCGAACGGAGCAAATCTAGGGAGCACCGCTGTATGGGGAGCACGGGTGAAGTTCTCTTGGAGAATTTGGATGATGGTGAAGCTCTGAAGGAAAGGGGATTCTTTCCCCACGGTTTGCTTTTTACTTAGTAAAGTGTTATATGTGTCAAAGTGTGCTACGATGCTACAACGATCCTACAACTTCCACTTGTCCGTCTCTGAGTGAGGCCTGAGCAAAGACCAATTGTGTATGTCTATCTTCTGTTGGTGCTCTCCTTATGGCTGTTGACTATCTCTGTGTTTCCATGGCTGTTTCATCTGGATTTATAGCATCACCCAGAGCCTTCCGAATCTTTTTCTATCTATCCATCTATCTATCTATCCCCCACTGTCGCCTTCTGGATCGGTGGCGATCCAGAGAGGAAAGGACTCTGACAGGTCGGCTTCCAACGAAAAGTCTTTCATCAATCAACATCAAGACTCGGCGACCGGCTCCGTTGGTTGCATGGCCTGCTGTGATTGCGAGAGTGAGAGAAGAATGCCTATGGAGACTGAAAGAAATAATGATAGAAAACTGTATTGCTGTTCTCCATACACTCACTTATGATGCCAACAAATCCACTGATTTGACTGCACAGGGACGAGTGATGGTATGAAGCAACAAGCATCAATTTGGAACTGATATTTGCTTAGCTTTACCCCATGTCGATGCCAGTGAACTGTTCTAAAGGGTGAATATCACAAAGTCCGTTCATATCTGATCATGACAGGAATAGATGGAGGTTTTGGGGCACCCTCGAACATAGATATTGTGCCGCTAAACCATGGCACTCAGCCTGACTTTTCTTTCCCAAAGTTGGGTCCTCTTTACATGAAATGTGTTCTCTTGACTTGGACTTCGGCCTTCCCAAAGTTGTTTGTTTTTAATGATTGGGGTTACATTTAGATTGCACATTATGTGTGCTAAGAGGATCTTTCCCTCCCGGACAAGTTAGTTTCTTCCTTCTCGTTCAGTTTTTTCTCTTACGTATTTACTTTCGTAGCTTTCAATCGTTTCTTCTTCGTGTTCCTTCTGTCGGTTCTTTGCACCTCTTGGCGGAGATGTAATGCACCTTGGCACTCTCTTGTTATCTATTTCACTTCTAGCAATCGAGTGTCTTAATGGATGACAGGAAAGCTTTGTGAAATTCCTCCTCTTAAATTGTGTACTTCTTCCTTAGTCCCTCTATTTCTCATAAGATTGTCAAGACTTGGAAATGGAGGCATCAGAACCTCTTCCCACACTCTCGAGAAATTCTGCTCCTTTCTTTCGGTGATTCTCTTCCATCTCCAATCGTCGCTGTTTTGTGTACTCTTCACTTGCATCATTTTTTGGACTTCTTCAAACGCCATGGTTTGCTTCAATAGCCTTTTCGGCCTCATAGGCCGAAGTCATGTGCTCAATCCTCTCCTTGCTAAAACCGTGTTTGCACAGCGGCTTCATGTCTTTCTCCCTTGATTTTTCCCATCACTAAAGTCATCTTCAAAACAAAAACTTCTTTCTGATATTTATTTGCTCTCACACCCATTCATAATGGCTCTGTGCGTAAAGACAGGCCTCTCGAATTCGCTGGGTGAAATCGAGCAGAATTGGGGATAAGTGAGGTCGCCAACATGTTTCCCACCTCTTTCTGCCGGATCCTCCGGTTGCGTACTCTTCACTCTTGTCCTTACCACATTTCCCAATTTGGCCACTCCATTATCCTGTCTCTTTCAGCTGGTAAATATCTGAACTCCGAGCACAGATCTGTAAGAATCCTCCACTGCTACTTTGTGCTAGGCAAAGGACTTCCAGGATTTAATAGTAACATCCGATCTATACCAAACTTATTCCGACAATTAGTGATTCTCCCGAGGACGGTTGCTATCACTGAGGACTTCTAATGTGAAAATTATATTTTATAACCTTTATATTCATTTAACATTGTCTCACTGAGAGGGCTGCCAGAATTGAAGGCATGCAGACTCTGTTGCTTATCATCCTTCTGCATGTGGGAGGAGAACCATGAGCCTTATCGGAACGGATGTGAAGTCTGACATCTTTGGCAAGGGTGCATTCAGATATGATTGCAAGCTTGGACAGGATGAGGCTGGAGCTCACGCTGGAGGATCTGGGATTCCTTATGCTCTACAGTTCGTCGCAACCGTAGTCCAAGAACCATGCACTCGTCCAGACGATTTTCTGATTGCCTGATTATAGTTTGTCAGGTTGAGATATTCATAGACGTAAAGGATAGGATAACCTTCCGGTCTCTTGTCGAAACCGAATTTATTTCTGACCTCGAAACTCAAATAATGACTTCAGGCTTCCATGTTCTTTTCCTATAGGCTAGTTCCTCTCCCTTCCTCCACTGGAAGAATCTACAATCAGTCCCACCGAATTGGTGATATAATATGAGAATCCCATGAATTTGCAGTGTGTTGCTACTGTAAACTCACTCGTTGAAGTGTTGGGAATTGCATGTGAGTAACTATCTCATGAGGAGGCTGGCCCATATACTGTTTTTACACGATAACATGATTAATATAATCCACAATGCATTTACCATACACTAAAAAGTGTAACTTACAGCTTCCCATGACAAAAGCTTAGTAAAAACTGAATATCATTTTCATTTGTCATCACATTTAGCTGATAACAGCAACTCATGAGAAGTTAATTGCATCAAGAGAACTTCATGATGCTATGTGGAGATACACTCATGGGTATGGAAGTGGCGTGTTGTAAAACGGTCATGTACTGAATCATGTGGTTAGCTGTCCTTGGTTAAAGTATTGCAATCGAGGCTCATAAAGGCTTGATCCAGTTCAAGACGCATACAAATGTACACTGTTTCGAATGACTGTACACCAAACTTGGTACTTATACGGAGACCGTATGTCTGAACTGAACCGTATTTCTCTAGTACTGAGAGAGGGGTGAATGAAACTCTCGTAGAAAAATACATATGAATAATATTGTACCAAGCCTTGTACTCTTTGAGGAGGAGACGTGGGAAGTCGAATCTGGACAATGGCGTTTGGTGGCAGCTTTGTGCTGGAAAGAAATAATTCGAACCACAAGCACAGAACTCGCAAAAACATTTTGGCATGCTAGAGGCTCTGAAAAGCATCGGGAATCAAACTCGGGCCATGAATGTTGGTCCGAGCCTTGGGCTGGACTTGGAGAAACAAGTACGGTCAACGCAAGAGTCTCCTTCTTCGAACAGTACCATGTTCATGTTCATACTTTGCCGTCCTCCATCCCATGCCCGGGAGCTTTACACAAGAATCAGTTTTGTCAACTCAAAATACTTTTTATATGATTACTTGCAAACGGAAAATTGCTCATGGTTGCTCGTTCTATCATCGCGTATTTCCTCCACGATTAGATCACGAATAATTTTCGTCTTTTTTTTCATTCCTCATGAACCTGTGCTGTTCTGCAGACCTGGTTCGACAGATAGAGATTCCATGTTCACACAAGAACGTGAAGAATCTGAGTCAAATTTACTTTTCTTCCACAAAGATCACACTTTGGTGGAGGAAACTTGAAGGAGGTTTGGAGAGAGAGAGAGGGAGAGAGAGAGAGAATGAATGAATGAATGAATGTGTCTAGACGATAAATTAAAAAATACTTAAAGCCAAATGAGGATATCGTCTCGAGCTCGATGTGGGCACGAAAAGTTCTATGTGAACAAGGTAGTCGACCAATAATAAGACATTCTTCTTGCATGAACCAAAATCCTGCATGTAAGGCACTCAAGAAAGACAGTTCTACGAATAGACACACGTTTGTCTGTAAAAAGGCATTGGGCTTCTCTGAAAACATATCCCGAGTCTTTGGATATGGTGCCTTTTACAAGATTATTTTGCTGATCACCTCGCTTGCGCATCAACCAAATATCTCGAGGCAATAGAATTCGAAGTTTGTAGAAAGTTGGAAAATGACTACTTGAACCTTTTTGTGCTCAGATGCTGATACTGCATGCACCTCACTGTGTGTACACTGTAATATAATATTTTTACCATAAAATTTCTTGCTCTTGGTACTTGTGTTCATGATCAGCAGTGAACCATACTCTATACATAAATATATTACAGTTCATAGACCAGAGTCTATAATTAATGCGGCATTTCAGATTTATTTGTAGATCATGTGAGATCTACAATACAACATCCCTCCGGGCTTTACTCATTGTCATAACTGCACATTAGAAAAGGTCAATCCTTCCTCCGAGGAAAGTCCCATATGTTCTGAATGAAGAACAATCAAATTAGCTTTAAATAGATAATATATATATTTTTCCCTGGAGCGGCACTCTACGTGCTCTTCCAGCGCAGCACACAGTACATATGAAAAATATCCCAATAAATTGGAGTATATTTAATATGCTCTATGTTTGTTAGGTGAGTCCAATAAACGCAAGTGGCAATAAAGTGCAACTTATGGAATCGATTTAAAAATTAGGATCTTCAGATTAATGAACACTTGCAACAACTGCGATGATTTGGTTTTTTTTGGTGAAGCAACGACATCGAGGGCCATAGTGAAAGAAGTAAATTCGTTGTATTCGCCATGTTAGGTGCTTTAGAGACAAGAAGCAACTCAGCGTTTTTTTCGACCTGTCCTTTCTGGTCAGATGAGGGACTTTTGGTGGGGCTGGATGTACATCGACACGCCCGTTACTCTTGATTTGCAGACTTTTAGAGAACAGAACGAGTCAATTACGGTAGAGGTGATATAACACTTTCATACACTTCCATCGACACCACCCGTCACTCTGCTCTTCCCTCCTCCATTCCTCCAACTGATTGTCAAAACCATGCGTCTGCCAGGCCCACCTGTGGACCCATCTGCTCGCCTCCCCAACCCACCATGAATTATTTCTGAATCAAAGTCTTCGAATAAGAGAGACAAGTTCGGACACCATTAAACTTGTGTGAACTTATCAGGAGGGTACAAAGTCTACAAGATCCCAAGAGGTGTAGGCATCATTCCAGCTTACAGTATCGTCACTCCTGAATTCCTTGTCATCCATATATCATGTCAAGGCGAAGATTTGAAGGCTGTCACTTTAGCAACCATCATCTTGTTTTCCAGTGGCTAATTTTTGTCCAAGATCACGTAAGTCAAATCAGCAAGTTGAACGTGTTTATTCACGGTCTTGTTCTCTATGGTGGCTTTTTGCTTTTGAAAATGACTTATTATGTCATCTCATCACGAACTTGACTTCAATTTGGTGATGCAATCAAAGGATAACCGCCAAATAGATTCTCAATATTTACCAAACCACATTTTCACACCGAATTGGAATCGTTTTCTTCTGTTTCGGAACGTAGAGGCCCGAATGCAACTTTTTACTGTGGTCTAAGGATTTCCATCTCCTTTACGCAATGTATGTATGGTACTTCGCTCAGTAGCTATCAGCATTTCGAATGAGACCGAGTATTGAGAAGAGTGATAGGAAAGGCCATCAAGATGTACCAACCAAGATACACGAAGATGCCATGTTGTGCAGCTGATGCAGACAATGTTTCCGCGGACAATTCAGAAAAACCACACGTCCTAATCTAACAGAAAGAAATTCTAATATGCATCTCCGACTGCTATTTGTAAACTGATTATGAGTATTCACACTGAATACCATCGCCGAACAGATTGCACACAGTTCTAAAAACATTTGGGATCCATGCAATGTTTGATGCTAAAAGCTTTTGTGAGCAATTTGAGATGCGCAAGTACAATGCATTTGTTGATATTTATATGACTGCGATGTCTGAATTAATGGACATTAAATGTAGAGGAGCATCAGATGTATTATTGCATGCTGAGAAGAAAAACAAAAGCCGTGGAAAAACCATAATATCCTGCATGGATGAAACGACACCCCAACAACATCAATAATATTTGTTCGTATACAGCTAAATATGTTTCGGTAAGATTCTATCCCTGCGATGAGATCAAGAATCAGTGCTAAAAAGTGTGGACGAGTATCAGAAATATCTATCTCACCAGGTAGCAGCTTTATCTTATTCGCCCTTATAGCAAGTACGAGGGAACAGACCCCAAGACGGTACAAGTCGAATTACAGTCGAGAATTACGAGGAGCAGCAAATCAGAGCTGAATATGGATGAATTATTAGAGTAAAGGATGCTACTGGGGTAAGACCTGGGTACTGAAAGAAGTGACAGAAACCTTCACGCAAAGCTGATTTGGTGAGACGAGGGCCGTGCTCAATTGACGCTTCACGGAATTGAAAGCCAGGCTCGACGAGGGGTCGAAGTCAACCGCATCGCAGTTCCACGTCAACCACGTCAAAGGTTCTCCGAAGCTGAACGATCCTTACGTTTGCAGGCTCCGTTCGCCACAGATCCGATGGGACCCGGAGCAACAGCGCGACGTCAGCCGGTGGGCCCTGCCGGGCCTCAAGGGCCTCGATTTCATGGCCACTCTGTGACAACTCGCCTCACGTGATCGCGTACCACTTGGGCCTCGTTGATTTGCCATTTGCCCCGTCTTCTATTGTATTGTATCGTATCCTGTACATTATTAGCTCCGCGAGACTTCTCTCTACAGACTCCCTGTCCTGTAGAATATGAGCAAGGAATGTTTCTGAATTGCTGATCTTCGATTGTAAACGAGCTCAAATGTTCATGCCTTCTGCGGAAGCTTGTTTCATCTCTGAGGCAGAAGGGGCCCTTCTCTGCTCTGACTCAAAGAGAACTCAATAGGACAGTGATTCCACGTACCTCCCATTTTTTGTTCGCAGCGTTGCATGTAGTGTACAATACCCTCCATCTTGTCATGCGTTCGAATATACTTGTAGATGATGGATTTTGGTAAGATTATGAGCTCACTCGCTGACAGATACTCTCGACAAGATGAAGTCGATAGATTGAATAAAATAATCAATTCAAGGTGTGCTTGGTATAAAACTTATTATGTGAATAACAAAAGCCCGGACTCAAATGTCATTTTTTGGATGTATGGTCAAAGTTTTCCACAGTGCTAAGACTGGAAGATGGTCGTACCAAATTGAAGGTAGAAAATTATTGCGATTATGAAAGCTCAAAGGGAAGCTCGTACAGGAACATGTGAAGGTTATGATTGTGGAAGTCACCTTCCACACCCTTCGGAGAAAACCTTGCTGTACAGGGCTTCGAAAAGGGGGAACGTTATAACCGAGCCTGGCTGCAAATGTACCGAAAGTAAGAGCAGCAGGATCCGATTTCTGAAGGACAGACGCTGTACCATCCAACTGATGCAAGAAGAGCTCAGTGTGCGCCTTGCGTAGATTTGTGTGGCCCCCGGATAATCAATCCTTCAGGACTGATCTCCAGCCAGAGAGAGGTACGGATGGATCAGAAAGCATTACCCGAAGAACAGAATGCAAAACAGTTTGCTGAAATGTTTCTGCCCCTTAATAATCCGGTCCGCTCTAATTCATTGGTTTCTTCATCATACGTGATAAGTGGGCCCGCCGAATTGTGATGGTCCACGTGAAGATGGTATCCGCACTTGTTGACCAAGTGGTCGAGCATTCGAAAAGACAAAAGGCAGAATCACCCGATTTTAGGCTTAACCGTGCGAAAGAAAATCAGAGCCTCGCGTAGCCTTTAGTGTTCGAGTCTCAGCGTTCATTCTGGTGTACTTTTTCGGAAGACACGAGGAAACGAAGAAGCGAGTCGTCCAGGATACATACGATCGATCGATCGATTCGCGAACGAGCGAGCGAGCAGCATAATCACGTCAAACATGGACATGTTTCTGTCTGTTTCCCCCAAACTCTTGCATTAATCGATCGTCGAGCGGAATGGCAGAGATCGTCGTCGCATACGGAGTATACGACTACGTACATATACTCTCCGTACGAAGTGGATCCGATACATTGCATGTACCATGGACGGATCGGATCGGAGCCCGATCCAATCATTCGCCCCGGAGTTGGGGGCGGGTGGGGGAACGAAAGCCCGGCAGAGGAAGACACGGACGGACGCCGCGCAACCGAAGCCGAAACCTCCTCTCCTCCCCGAGAAACACGAAGCGGCCACTGTTCCCAACCCGGTCACTGCAGCGCAGTTGTCTACGACGCAGTTCACCGCGGGAACGCCGAAGGCCGGGAGGGGAGGGGAAGACAGGTCAACGTGGTCGACAATGGAGGGAACGAAGTGAGGCACGAACGAGGTGCGCAGTTCAAGGCGCGGCGGCCCCAGGCGAGGCCGGGGAGTTAAGTTCCAGAGGGGCGGCCGTCGTTGTCGTCGTCGTCGTCGGGAGGGGTGGGACCGGGCCGTGGTTGCAGTTGTGGTTGTGGTGGCCCCGGGGAGGGGAGGGACTGCGTCGGTCCGAAAGAGTAGGTTCGGTCTAGTACACTCGGTCTTATCCTGAAGGCGCGGTTCGCGGACGGAAGGCGACGGGAGCGCAGCCGCAAGACGACAGAGCGCGCGCTGGGAAAGGGAGGGATTGGGACACCGGACGGAGGCGCGGCCTGCCGGTCGCCCGGTAGCCCGGTAGGGGCTGGGGAGTGCTTTTAAGGGCCCTGCGGGGCGCGTGACTGGCACACTCGGCTGCGTGGCGCCCGCACGCGCTGCCTCTCAGAGTCCGCCATCGCTTCTCGGCCGCAGATGCTTCAGGCCCTTCGTATTTGCCCTTCGTAAATTTGCCTCTTCCTCCTCTTCCTTCTCCTCCGCGATCGCATGCACGCCGCCAATTCGCCGGAGCAGTTCTGAACTCGCAGCAGCCCTCGCACGATCATCGGGCTTCTGTCGCAAATTTGCATCTCCTATTTGCGCCCTAGAGGTTTTTCATACGTCGCGGTTCTGTGGACCGAAGGGACGGGACGGCGAGGCGAGGCGAGGGAAGTGCGGTTCTTAAGCGGAGCAGTGCCGGAGGATCTGACGACGAACTGAAGGAGACGATTGGGGATTGGGGATCGGGACGGGGAAGGGGAGGGGAGGGAAGTGAGAAGGCGGGGGGTTGGCTGGACTGGAAGGAGGGATCGTGGCAGTTTTATTTGCGGTCTGGGGTGGAGGAGAATCTCGGCTGCTCTGGCCGCCGGGCGAATTGCGCGCACTGTGGTGTGGGCCTGATTGAATCCGAAAGGGGGATTGATTGGCTAACCCCTTTGCTGTCTCGAGCCCGGGCCCGATCGGAGCGAGGATTGGGAGAAGGGGTTTGTGTTCTGCGCGGCGGGAAGCGGAGGGGAGGTGGAGGAGGAGGAGGTAAAATCCGAAGGTTCCTGCTGTTGGAGCTGTCCAACTCCTCCTGCCAGTCTTGGGGAAGGGGTTTGGAGTGCAACCCTAACAGGGAACCGGGTCTATATTTAGGGGCGTTCGAACAGTTTCACATTCGGCGGGTGTAGAGAATTTTCTGAGGCGCCTCGAGCCAATAGTTGCTGTTTGAAAAAATTGATCTGCGTATAGAAGGAGAGATCGACTCGATTTATTCTTTGGCTTCGCTCTGCGGATTGCGAACTTGATCGAGAACAGTATCGGACTGCTCTGCCCTTCGCCTGAAGGGAATTGCTTGGCCGATCCTCTGTTTCTTTCGACTCAAGTTGATCTCGGAGATCGTGAATCCCGCAGCCGGGAATGTCCGAGGCGGCATCCGAGCTGCGGGAGAGGCTTCTTCGAGCTCGAAAATCCACTCAGGCATCTACTAGTTATGGCGAAAGGGAGAGAGATGCATCTCCTCTCCCGACTGCCCTTCAAACGACGAAAGAAAGCTCGAAGTTTGATGGGTTAGGGTTTGGGCAGTACATGCTAGCTGGATCCATAGCTGGGATGGTGGAGCACACGGCCATGTTCCCCGTCGATACTCTGAAAACCCGCATGCAGATGTTGGCCAGTGCCGGAGGATCCATCCACAGTACGATTGGCAGAGCTTTGGTCACGATCATCAAAACTGAAGGTCCTTTGGGGCTGTACAGAGGAATTGGAGCCATGGGCCTCGGTGCTGGTCCAGCCCATGCTGTGTATTTTTCAGTCTACGAAATTGCCAAGGAGAAATTGGGAGGTAACCAAGCGGGGTATCATCCTCTGGCCCACGGTTTGGCTGGGTCCATGGCTACAATTGCAAGTGATGCCGTTTTTACACCTATGGATGTTGTGAAGCAGAGACTGCAAGTGCGGCGGAGTCCTTACTCGGGGTTGACAGATTGCATCAAGACCATGCTTCGAGAGGAAGGAATCAGAGCATTTTATGTGTCCTACCGCACCACTGTGGTCATGAACGTCCCTTTCACGGCCGTGCACTTCGCATCGTACGAGGCTGCCAAGAAAATGTTGATGGAGCTCTCTCCCGACCAGGCGACAGAGGTGCTTATCCCCGGCTCCCATGACACGCTTGGTAGTGCCTAGATTATTTGAAAGTTTTTGTTTCTAAACTGCTTGTCAAAGAAAGAAAGTGCAACGGTGGCTCCTACTAATTTGAAAATCAATACATGGGTAGGTGTTTGCTAAAAAATCCTATCAAACATCTGGTCCTTGTGTGTTTGAATCTATCAAGGAAGGTCAAAGCTTGGTTATGCAATTCGGTGAAATGTCTAAGTGCCGAATCCTTATAGAAGTCCAAAAGTTATTTCAAACCAATGATATTTAAATTTCGTGCTGCATGTGGGGAACCATCTGAGTGGTGACCTCGATAATGTTCAAGAGATAATCCGCATTAAATTCTATGTTCGACACGATGACGATGGCCCGATCACTGTTTGAAGTTCTAGAGCGGTGTATGGTGATATGTGCTCATCGTCAAGTTTGGTGCTATTGCAGGAAAGCTTGTTGATGCATATCACAGCAGGTGGTGCTGCTGGGGCACTTGCGAGCGCAGTGACTACACCTTTAGATGTGATCAAAACTCGTCTTCAAACACAGGTGCATTGTTGTACATCTCGCCGTTAACTTTGGATGTTAGACAATTTAAACCTTGCTTTGATTGCTCGATCCGAAAGTTTAAAAGTATTCACATATCTTTCAATTTCATGAAAGAGCGGGATGAAGCTCTGGAAATACACGGGAGTTCATCCTGAATAAACTTGTGAACATTGTTTGAGATAGACGAAGGTGGATCATCAATAATCACAGGTTTCAGTGCACTTTTAGTTCGTCATGTGTGTTTTTGAGATAATGAGACGTGTGGAACCATATTGCACGTCATGTACGCATTGCCTAGCATGCACTAGTGCAGCGGTCCTCATTTTTTTAAGGCACATAATGCCTCAAGTTTCACACTTTGTGAACAGTAAGTACTGTGTTACTGGCCTGTTACATCCTGTCACAATGATCTACTTACATTGCAGGAAGTGCGCAAGACAGATTCCTGCAGTTTGACACTCTTTCTTTCTACTGTTGTTGGCACGCTTGTGAGGTTTACAATTTGTGATCAATTTGTAAACTCTGGATCTCTCAGTTGGTTGGAGAAGGCATTAGTTTGTATATCTTTCTCTTGAAGTCGTATGGAGGTGTACGCGCAGACTCCAAGTTTAATGTTGGAAGGAACCCACAGTCTGGAGTGTTGATGCCATTGTAGTCAAAAGAAGGCGTATACAGTCTAACACTCGCGGACTTATAAGCAAAATGTAGAGAGAAACGTACACTTGTGGAATGTGTATGACATTGTAGTTGTATGGATGTTGTAGCAGTCTTGTTGTTCCTACCTTCCAAGCGCAATGTGGCAGTGACTTACACACGCGGAGTTTTTTTGCATAAATGTGAAAGTAGACACTGATTGAAAGATCGTTGCAATTTTCTCGCAGGGTATCTGTGGTGCAGAGAGATTCAGCAGCGGTTCAGTGCTGCATGTTGCGAAAAGAATCGTCAAGCGGGAAGGTCCCTCAGCTTTGTTGAGGGGTATTAGACCGAGGATATTGTTCCACACTCCCGCAGCTGCTATTTGCTGGTCCACGTACGAAGCTGGGAAGTCGTTTCTTCTGCGTTGGAATGAGGGTCAAAACAACTAATCTGAAGCGGGAAGTCCGCTCTGACTAGGCAAAAGTGAGGACGGAGCAGTGTCGATCAACTAGGAAGCTGAGTAGGGGAATCATTCGCTACAAAGGAAAAGTTCACATGCATTTGATGAAGTTATGGATCGTAAGTCTCCCAAAATGTTGAGGCCAAAGTCCAACTGGTGTGGGAATACCTAGGATCAAGTGGAGCCAGCCTACCATCCAAGGCGTAGCAGCTACCTCAGGTGTTAGGGAGTTCTCAATGTCTCCGTGCTTTCAGTTCACGCGCGGGTCTTAGTTGTCAAATTGTTTCGCAGTCGATCGAGGTTTCCAGATTCCACACCAAATTTGAACCCTGGCTCTGAAGATGATGACGAAAATGTACGGTAGGATGGCTGGTGGAGAGAGTGAAGAAAGACCTACACTCATTTTGGACGAAACACTATACAAATATGTACGATATTGGGTTTTGTACCGGAGGGACAGGACGATGTACTTTTCAAGTAACCAAGACTGAGCAGATGAACCGTGCGATTGTGTCACCGCATTTGGACAAGTAGAAGAAGTATGAAGATGTGATCACAAAGCCGTGACTGGAATCTTCGCCCGGACCATCAGCCTGCAGGTTGAGCTCTCTGCCTCTGTAGGTGCGCAACAGTTTTAACGTCTTGTTGAAAATTGTCGAGGCATTTTCTGGGCAGCAATAATCCTGTCCGTCTGGGTGCGGACTTCAAAGAAAACTGCAACTTGTATTTTCCTTACGGAACTTGTATCTGGATTTAGCTAGAAACCCCAATAGCCTGCCTGTAGATTCTTGGCATAATTTTAGTCCTTGCGAGGAAGATGGCGCATTCCTCCTCATGTACGATCACGCCCTTTTGAGGCAGGACTCTGAAGTCTTCAGGTTGCTGTGCACCGTCCGACATTGCGCTGATTGTGCATGCACTTGTCATCGGTTGTACCATAGCCCTCCAGTGGATGTTTTCCTGCAACATTTGAGCAAGCGATTATTTCTTGACCCTTAGGGAGTTTTTCTCGGCTCTCACAAACAGCTCAGTCTTGTGTAATTACTTTGTTGTTGACCAAGGAAAGTCTTTTAGAATGAAGGTGATAGGGCTGGGTGTTTATAGTGGTGAATGTCTGAAAAGGTTGGAATTCGATTGTTTTAAGGCATTTGTGCAGGCTGTGAATTAATACCAAAAGATGAAGGTGGTAAGGACCTTCGGGGTTATTGTTTTTTTTTTTATGTTTCGCTTCAATGTGCCACCTGTTCTACAAAAACCTATTGCAAGTACTTTAGCCTGTCTCTAATGATTGAAGTTCATGCGCACACCTCCAGACAGTCCATGCCTTTCCGTAAAAGTTTTTGGGGTATATTTTCTCACATCCCGTCGCCTTAATAGAATCCATGCTATTCCTTGTTACAGTAGATTATATGGGACGTCATTGGGTCTACTAAGATTTCACTGGATTTCACGCTGCATCTGTTATATTTGTATGCTTGTCGATTTTTGGTATAGTTTACATATTAGCTCAACTTATGTCTTCAGTCAGGAAATTGCAGCGGGCGAATGCTTTTATGTGTTTCAATAAATATTTAAGTGAAGTTATTACTCAAATATCTTTTTTCGTCAATAGATTCACACTGTATTCAATATGAGATTTCGTGCACCACAAACACGAGTAATTGTAATCTGGATGAGTTGGTTCTCTTACAGTCAACATCCACTTCATTGCATCTATAAGAACCTTGAGTTCCCCTCTTCTGCGAAACGAGGAAAACATCGCACTTGATAGAAATAGTGCGCACGTATGGATTCTTTGTATAGTTTCCTTTGAGTTCGGGATGATGTAAAGACGAAAAGATACTACTGTGCATGATGAGTGTCTATCGTCGAAAGACTACTTCGTGTTGGCATGTTTCTGGAATTACCTGAGTTGAGTACAGTCTGATGTTATTGCGCCATTCGGAGATCACTTCACCACCGATCTCCTCAAGATGGGGCTGTGTACTCACTGAGTGTCGATGTGTTCTTCAGGATGCTTGACTGCTGTTTTTGTGTTGTTCCTCTTCTAAAGTTGGCGCTCTCCCTCTCCATACTTGCAACCGTGTCTTCGTTGATGGCGCACGCCCTACGCTCCGCTCAAAGTTTAGTCCTTGATTTTTGTGGACTCTGTCATCATCAGCGTACTGTCCGTCTCCATTGACAGTCCAGGTAACTTGCTCAGCCGTAGGGCTGAGCAGACTTTAGAACATTTCCTCCCTCCTGATCTTTACGCCGCTTGGATTATCATGCAACGCTGGTACTTAAACCTCCCCTCTTTATTTACGTCAAGGCTTTATGTCATCTGTAACTGGCACTCTCCACACCTTGAGTAACACTTGTTGTATAGAAACGTTTTGTACTTTTTTCATGAACTCTCTCCACTTTGTCTACTCGAGGGGTACTTCATAGTTTCTGTCTCATACACAAGATCCATCCCCATGCATTTTGGGTCTGAGACATTCTGAAGTAGTGCTATCAGTGAAAAAAATAACGATTATCTAAGACACCACATATGCTTTCCTCAACCTGTGGATTCCGCTGGTCTACACAAAGCAAGTTTCATAGTGGCAGACTCCTTACAGATTTTGCAAGGACAGAATTTCGCCAAAAAAAGGATGAGTGTCTGAGGTTAAGCATCTCTAAATTCAACCGCACCTCTACTTTAAGGTAATTGCACATGTCTAAGAAGATTTTCTCTTTCCCAACTTCCCTCCCATGCATAGCTAAATTCGTTGTTCTATATATAATCCAGGACAGTTCAGTTTATACCATTCGAATTTTCTCAACATCTAGGGATCTATGAATATGAACGTGTGTATGCCAATATCACATGAAAATATCAAATGGTATCCAGGTATATAGTACACACAAATTCCGACCCTTGTCCAGATTTATCTTTTATGAACATCAAGCATCATAACAAACTTCAAAGATCTCAGTAAGTAGCATAATAATTAAATTGATATCTACTCGTATTTAAATATTGAAATACGGCTTCATTTTTTATAATGAATTTTTCAAAAAATTCAAATTAACTACTTACATGTTATTTGTATCTTTGCTCCCTAGTTTAGCTACTTGTAATAGTTATTCATCAATGGATATAAATTACATAACACCAATTATTGAAATTTTATTCAAAAATAATCAGCAATCTAAAAAAATATTTTACTTGTATACGAAATTTTGACTTATAGATTACATAACATCAATTATTGAATATAACTTACAGATAATCAGCATTCTAAAAACAATCAGATATGTTTTACATTAATATGCAAGTCTTACATATTCCGTGTGCATAGAGAAGTTGAAAATTGTGTAATATTATAATTTTCAATATTTGAGTATGATTTTTAACTTCTCATAAATTCAGAAAAAATATGTATACATTTTTTAGCATTAATCATTTGTATTGATAAGATTAACTTGAATTTTTTACCTAAAAAACATAATATGTTTCAATCCAAGTAAATAAGACGTGAACATTTCATTTCATTTCATTTTCAAATGAAATAATGACACTTTGTCATAAAAGTCATACTACATCTCTAATGAAATTGATAAATAAATATAATTTAGCTAGTTTACTGTAAAAAATTTTTAAGTCTTAATTATGATAGATTGATAAAAAAAAATACAGATGAATACATCTCTAATGAAATAAATAAATAATATATATATATATGTTGGTTGATAAAATTTGTAAAAAATTTTGAAGTCTAAATTATGACAGATTGATAATAAAAATACAGATAAAAATAAATTAAACAATTAATATTGATAGGTTTAGTTAGATAGTTTTTATAGATCTCAATAGTGCAAGAATGAGCTTGCATATTTGTTGTAAACAAAATATGATTGAATCAAGATTGTAAACGTTTTTGGATTCCTAAGTAATGATAAAAATAATAATCTGAAATCTTACATAATGTATATATGTTGCGAACATTAACTCTATGATAGAATAAAATACTAGATTAAGGAGTTCTTCAAAGTTATATAAAATAGATCACAAGTGAGTAGATTTTTCACACAAGACTCAAAATAATTATCAAAATAAAAAATTGAAAGTAGTATTAATAATTGGAAGAGTAGATATAATTAGTGTTAACAAAAGTGAAGTGCAATGTGTCCAAAGTCTTTATACATACTCCTAGCAAGGCCAAGTATTAATAGAACTTCAAGTTGGAAAGAGTCACCGCCACTACTAGTAGAATTCCAAAGTTGGAAACAATAGCCGTCACTGCTACTAGTACTCTGAAGTTGATTAGATATGTCATGTTTGTGAGATCGGTTTTTAAACAAGGGGGAAAGTATCCCAAAAATAAAAATAAAAGTATTAAAAACTTCCTAAAAATTACTTTTGAACCTTGCTTGTTGAATTTTAAAAAAATAGTTAAATCATCAAGTTAATTATTAAGTAAAAAAACAATTTATTTGTTTTTTTACTTTTTTTAGTTAATAATTAATTAACTAACCCTTTTGAAACAATAGATTACATAAGTTGTTTTATTATGTTATCAAATATAGAAACTAAAAATCTATTACAAGAAGTCCATGTGATAGTTACATGATTATAACTTCAGTTGTTGTTGGTTAAAACATGATAGATACAAATATATTCGGCAATTAGTTGTGTCGGATATCGACAAATGAAATATTTTAATCTTTCTGCGCATTAAGAAGATTAGCTGGAGGTTTTCAAGTTCGCTTGCTTACTATATAGCTCCAATGACAAAGTTAGAATTATCCGTTTATAGTAGGAACGAATTTAGAATTCAAGATGTGTTAGAATAAGCGTCATTGTGAACTTCTTCTCAAGACTTTCAAATGATTGCTCTGATCTGCATTTCATTTTTTAGAGTCTCAAATGCTTGCTTTGATCCGCATTCCATTCGAGTTTGATTTTGCAAGTAAAATTAGATCAATGGAACAACAATCTTGAAATGAGATTGGATGAGAATTTGATAGAAGTTATCAAAATGAAAAAATCATTATAAGTTTCAAATGATAATTGATTTCTTTCAATAGGGGACTATTTGAATCTTCTTTGTATCTATGGATAGAAACTTTCCAGAAATAATGTAGCCTAAAAAATTGACTTAAGGTTGGTGATAGGCACACTTCTCTACATTATCATATACTCCTACAGTTCATAGCTTCTTCTATATCACTTAGACATAATTGATGTGATATTTTTCATTCTTGAATAAAATCAATATTTTATTGAGTTATTGAGAGAATAGTCAATAATATACGTCTTTCATCAAGTGTTGAAAGATGTTAGATGAGTTGGTAAAACCAAAAGACATGACATTGTATTCAAAATGTCTACGTCTAGTTTGTTCTCTTCCATTCGTCATTTTTCTTCATATGTATGAGATTGTACATTCCACAAAGATCAATCTCGTTGTGGATTTTTGCTTGACCAAATAATTCAAGAAATCTTGAAATAAGAGGGAATGGATACAAATGTTAGATAATGACCTTGTTTAGTACACAATAATCCAATCATAGATGATTTAAATGTCAAATGAATTTTTTTTGCTAGATTTTGTATCAAATTAATGTCACAATGAAAAAGCTTATTTTTTGGTAGGTTGTAGATTGGTTCAAAGGAAGATTGCACACCTTTTTGGAGTTAGATGCCACAATAATAAGGACGATGATAAGAAAATGTATGTATCATCTCAAACACGTATCGATACTTTTCATATTTTGCTAGTAATTTGGTTGATTTTGATACAGGTTGGGATCCTAGAATGGTATGAAATGCAAACATATCTCCATTCGTAGCGTATCTTGAGCATGAACCATCAATAAAACTTTGATCTCAAATCCTTGGACTTGGTAAAAACATAGATTTATAACATTTCTAGGATGTCTAGATAAAATATGTAAAACTATGCTTTCATATATTAATTTTTCTTTTTTCAATCTATACTCAAATTGATCATTTCTAATCAAGAGATATCTAAAACAAGAGTTCTAGAGTAAAAATTAATAGTATTGAATTCAATAATGCTTTGATATACTTCTCGCATAATTTATGAAAGTTAGGTTTAGTGAGCACATACACTTAAATCAAAGACTTATCATCAATAAACTCTACTGCCACAGGCTATTTTGGAGG